GCCCTCTTGAGGGTGGTGACGGCCTATTTCAAAGACGCGCTCGCCAAGGTGCACACCGACCCTGGGCGGGGCTTAGGGCAAAGATAAACCTTTTTCTCTCTCCTCTCACTGTCTCTAAATTCAATTTTTAAAAAAATGTTTAAAAAGAACAGATCTTGTAGTGTTACAGAGAAATTGTCTGCCCTTTTTAGCACGTGGAGAAGCAACAACTCAAAAAAAATAGGTAAACCTTTTACTAAGAAGTTAAATGCCTGCCCTGGCCGGGAAGCTCAGTTGGGTAGAGTGTCATCCTGAAACGCCAAGGTCGTGGGTTCAGTCCCCGGTCACGGCGCGTACAAGCATCAACCAATGAGTACATCAATAGGTGGAATGACAAATCCGTGTTTTTCTCTCTCTCAAATCAGTAAAAAAGAAAATCATTTAAAAAACTATATGCCTGGGGTGTGAGGCCCCGGACTGCGACCTGCCCGGTGAGGAACCTGGGGCCAGCTCACCCGGCCAGGTCGCCTTCCACGGAGTTCTTTTTTCGTCCCCATCCTGTGTCCCCAGGCAGGAGGAGGGTTGGACGAGTCAGCATTGGGACGGGCCTGGTGTTTTCTTTGTCCGCTGTTCGGAGGCTGACCCCAGCAGGCCCTGGAACAGGGCGCTCCAGACCGGTGCCAAGTGGGAGGGGAGGCGGGGAAGGAGAACAGAGGCCTTGCAGCTGTGACCTGGCGAGGTGACCTGGAGGAGCTTGGGCAGGTGTAAGGCACAGCCCTGAAATAGCACCAAGATGCAGGGGTTTTTTATGGATTTTTAGAGAGAGAGGAAGGGAGGCAGGAAAGGAGGGAAACAGAGAGGGACATCTATGTGTTGTTCCACTTACTTACGCATTGCATTCAGTGGTTGATTCTCGTGTGTGCCCTGACTGGGGATCGAACCCCCAAACCTTGGCACTTGAGGACAATGCTGGAACCAACTGAGCCGCCTAGCCAGAGCAGAGACGTGGGTTTTTAAAAATTGTGACAAACAGGCCCTTGTTCTCACTCAGAGCATATGGTTCTGGCTCTTGGTGTTTTTCTGAGAGCGGATTAGCGAGAGGCGCTTAAGTGCCCTGGGGACCTCAGAGAATCTCCCTCCCTGGTGGCCTTCGTGGCTGTCACCTGGTTCCCATGCTCTGCCTGCGGGCTTCGGCCCCAGGGGTGTTCCAGGCCCAGAGTGTCTGTGCCAGGTCTCCGCCCGCCGCCCCCAGAAGTGACTTCTGGACCGCAGGAAAGCAGAGGTGCACAGCCCTCGGCACGCTGCTCGGCTAGAGGTGGCCTCACATCCAGAGGGGCCCCCAAGGCCTTCCCGGGCCCCCAGCCAGACCGGGGCGGGGTGGGCAGCACCCTGTGTCCTCCAGCACGCGCTCCTGTTGATTTGAGGGGACGGTGCCGGGCCAGGAAGAGGTCACGCTCTCTTTTGTTCTCTGTTTTCCCGTCTCAGCTCTTCCTTGGGACCGTTCTTTCCCTTTCTCTTCTCTGCGTTCATCTCTTTCCTTTTTTTCCCTTTTGATTTTGTCGTTCCACTTACTGATGCCTTCACTGGTTGATTCCTGCCTGTGCCTGACCAGGGATTGACCCACAGACCTTGGCGTGTGGGGACAACGCGCCAGCCAACCTAGTTGCCCGGCCAGGGCATTCTCTGCTCTTCTTGCCAGTACACCTGTTCTCCCCCGGAGCCATCCGGTGACCCAGGGCGCAGGTGCACGGTCTGTGCAGGCGGATCCCAGCGGCCATGCTGCACGGCTCTGTCCCCAGGGAAGCCACCTCTCTCTACTTAGATAGACCCAGGTGGGGATGGTGGGGGGCACATGCCTCTCCAAGCCCGCAGGTGTGGTGGGTGCACCCCACACAGGGGCAAGGAATGGGGCTGAGGGGCGTCAGTGCATGGGCTTGGCTGGGGGCCAGCCGTGGAGCTGCTGCAGTGAGAGAGTCGGCAGGGAGGAGGGGGACGACGGTGGGCCTCGGTCCCAGTTGACGCGTCTTGGTGTTCATGCGGAGAGACTGCAGACCTCGTGTCCAGTGTGCACAGGCAGAGGTTAACGCCCTGGGCAAGGCTCAGGGGCGCAGGGGGGCCTAAAGAGGGGCGGTGACCCCAGCTCAGAGGACGCGGTGGCGGGACTGCTCGCCTGACCCTCGGTGCCTTGCTGTGCCCTTTGCTGCCTTCCCGGGAGGCCGAAGGGATACACGGGGAGGCCGTCCAGCTGTCCCATGCAGGTGGCCCGGATCCAGACGCCGCCTGGCCTGCCAGCTGGCCCCAGGGCCCTTCCCCTCACTGCGGGCAGGGGCTCCCAGGTGGGAGTGTCTGGGGCGGCCGCAGCCTTGGGTCGGCCTGCTGAGCACCGGCCTGTGTGCCTTGCAGGAGGGGTGCGCAGGCGTCGCTGTGCTTCTCAGTGTGTGCGGTGCGTGTGCGACAGTCCTGCTACATAGTAAAACCTAACTGTCCTTCCTGATTGTCCCCATGTTTATCAACTGCTTGGCTCCTTCTCCCCAGGTGCTTGCCCTGGCCGCCCCCCCCCCTTCAGTCCTCGGCACTCAGGCCCCGGGAGGCTGACTAACAGGTTCATCTCCACAGGTGTCCCGTCCGGAGGGACCGGGTGGCTCTCAGCTGGCCCGGAGCCCTGGTCAAGACAGGGCACGTTGTGCATCTGGCCCTAGGGGTTTTCAAACTGGTCCAGGAGCCCTTCATTCTCTAGGGTCCAAGGGCGGCAGGAGGAGGGCAAATGGCTTTACCCGCTGACCTTGGCTGTGTGTTTCCATTTAAAGAAAAGGTCCCTAGTTTTAGGGACATTGGGATCCTCTGGCCCAGTGACCTGGGGCTGTATTCAGCCTTTGGTAAGTGGTAACAGCTGTCACCAGGTGCTCTGGTGGCTGTCTCAGGCCTCGGAGGCAGGAGACACCGGACAGTGCTGCCAGACTGCACCCGCGTCCGGTGGGAGGCGGCCAGGTGGCTGCCTGCTTCCCCTTTTGCTGTCGAGCCAGGCGCAGTCCGCCAGGTGCTTTCCGTCCAGACGCTGTGGGCCGGCCCCGGGCTGCGGCTCAGCAAACCCGCGTGGCTGGCGGGTGAGGTGGGTGCTTCTCAGAAGGTGGGTGCTCGGGACCACTCCAAGGGTCGGGAGCTTTGAAAAGCGCTCTCCCCGTGTGAGACTTTGCACCGACTGCTCTGGACAGGTTTGGTTTCACTGAACATATTTTAAGAAATCAGGGAAGATCAGAAACACAGAGAAGAGAGACCAGCCCTGCAGACCCCCATCTGGCCGCCAGTTCCCACCCCCAGGCCACTGCATACCTCTGTCCATCCGTGTCCCCAGCCCCAAAGATTCTGCAGCAAATCTTAGATGTGACAAAAAATAAAATCGCATTGGTAACTATTTCAGTCCATATCGCCAAGAGGTAGCGCCCACAACCTGCTGATAGCCACAGTACACAATGGCACCCCAAACCGTTTAACAACTGCCACCCCCCGTGCCCAAGGTGACAGTTCTTTGAAGGGGTCCTTAGTGTGAGTGGAGCACTAGGGTGGACACACGAGGGAGGGGACAGAGGACGCGTGCCCGCCCGCCCAGGTCCTGTATAGCAGCGGGGAAGGTTAAGGTGCATAAATGTTAAGGACGCAACCCTTCGGGTTCACGAGGCCGTGGATTTCTTTTTGTGACTTCATCGCAATATAATTCCAGTCCAGAAAGTCCCCCGTCTGGAATGGCCGTGGCGGTGGGTTTCAGTGGAGTCACAGGGACGTGCGTCCATCACCACGGTCGGTTTTGGAAAATGGTGTTGTCGCCCCACAAAGAAGCCCTCCCCTCTGAGCCATCCCCTCCCAGTGACGGTCCCCTCCAGCCCAAGGTGACCGCTGCTGTGTCCCCTGTCCCCATAGATTTGCCTGTTCTGGGCATTTCAAGGAAACGGGATCGCACGTGGCGTGGCCTTGCGTCTGTGGCTTCCTCCACGGAGCAGAATGTTTTCTGGGTTCCCCGTGTTGTGGCACGTGTCAGAGCCTCGAGCCTTTCTGTGGCCAAGCAGGAACACTGATGCTTGTGGAACGCACCGATGAATGAGAGCAGGGCGCCTTTCCAGGGCTGCTCCGGCACCGTGCAGGATGGGCTGCGATCGGGCTGGTTTGCCCTCTGTCACTGGGGGGTCTTCGGGACAAGTCTCCCTCTGCACTTGGCAGGCTTGTCAATCAGGAAAAATTGCGCGTGATGAGAAAGCACAGGCGTGCAGTTTTAGATTTCTTTATTATGGTTTCTGATAGGTGTTTTCCTCCCTTGGCTGCCCTTCTATCCCCCAGGTGCACTGTGCAGACAGCCCAGGAGGAGACGGAAGGGTGTGCCTGCCCACCTTCAGAAGGAGGCAGAGGGGCCGGCAGAGGTGGGGGCGGCTGTGAGGGGAGGGACAGGCTCCTGGGGCTTCGCGTCCCTGGGAGGATGGGAGGAAGCAGACAGGAGCCGGGATGGTGGGAGACAGAGAACCTACATACTGCAGATTCCAGAGCAGTTCAAATGAAACGTGTTCCACTTTGCAGCTGGCCCTGGGCCCTGTACTTGAGGGCCGGGTGAGTGCTCTGGTAACGGCTGACCCCTCGGTTGTGGGGTGGAGTTCGAGTTCAGTCTCGTCTTCCTCCCGCCCCGTCCCTCTGGCTTCCGCGGTGCCTAAAGTGGGTTTTCCAGAGGCTGAGGTGTTCCGAGTCAGCCCTGGTTCCCACCTGAAGATAAGGATTCAGGGCCACGGAGGACTCGTGTGTGGCGTCCAGGTGGCCGGGGGCTCCCGGACTCCGCCGATGGCCCCAGGGTCTCTGAGCAGGGGCTGGGTGGAAGCGGGCATGGGCGGGGCAGCCCCGAGCCACAGAATTCGGTCTGTTAATGAAGCCTGTGAAGTCCATTCAGTGGGGGAGAAAAACTTAAATCCGGAACAAATTCCACTTCTACACACAGGTTTTTCTAACATCTGGCGAGATGGTCCACCCTCTGCCTTTCTTTTCAGCGGATCGCCAAAGATGGCAGAAGCCCACCAAGCTGTGGCCTTCCAGTTCACGGTCACTCCGGACGGGATCGACCTGCGGCTGAGCCATGAAGCCCTGAAGCAAATCTACCTGTCTGGACTTCATTCCTGGAAAAAGAAGTTCATTCAATTCAAGGTTTGCAGACACTGGTTTAGGCCTCTGCTGCGGTCCCTGGGGCTCCGAGCGCTGCCCTCCAGGGGCTTTTCCAAGTGTTCTGAGCGGCAGCTGGCACACAGTCGGTATTTTCGTGGTGCTGAAGGCTCCGGAGGCACGTTCCTGTGTATCGGCTCCCGGAATCCATGAAGGGGTGCCCCTGTCGGGCAGGGGGGAAGTCGGGGCTCAGAGGCGGTGGGTGGCCTGCTCAGCAGACACCAAATAAGAACGAGAACCCACATCTCCTGCTCTGAGCCCAGACCCTGCTCGCCCTCCAGAACCGGCATTGCCTTCCAGCTGCGAGAAACCGCAGTGAGCCTGTCGGACAGGCTCTCACTGATGAAATACCCACACACAGACACACATAAATCCACGTACACACATAAATCCACACACACACACACAGAAATACCCACACACATAAGTCCACGTGCAGTCACCTTCCCAGTCTCCATTCTGTTGACCCGAAAGAGAGGAAACAGACCGTATTTTGCCGTGTGTAATGCGCACTTTTTTGCCCAGATTTTTTAGAGAAGTGTAAGGATGCATGTTGCACATGGGTAGTAGCAATTCCAAATCTGTAAAAATACTTTTAATTCTTTTGTTTATACCTATGCATTAAACGTGTAACTCTAGAAGGCAGTAATGATATCCGCATGCAAAATAATACCCTGGAATATGATAATCAGTTTTATATATAAATAAGACAATGAGTTAAAAAATTAAAACGGAAGATGTTTTTCCTGAAAATTGGGGCCAAAAATGTGGGTGCACAGTGTACATGAGAATGCCTTATACTCAGCAAAATACGGTATCACTGTTTTAAGCACAAATCTTGTTTTTAATTTAGTGTCTTTTTAAAATTCAAGCAAGATCAAAGGGCAAGATCAAAAGTGAATGCCGCCCCCCCAGGCGTAGATGGTACAATTGGTATTTTTAGTCCTGTTTTCCTTCTTAGAGGGAAGTGAAAGGCCCGGGAGCTAGAGTAGGTGACAGCAGTGACCTTGGAGGTGGGTCTGGCTGGGCCGGTGTCCCGGGGCGCAGGGTGGGGTTCTGGGGTCCATCCCCAACATGGCACCTCAAGTGGAGCAGGGCGCCCCCTACAGGGGAAGCGCAGGTTGGCCCCTAGCTTCGCTCAGAGCTCCTCCAAGTGGTGGGAGATAGAACCTGCAGGGCGGGCGCATCGAATCAGCCCAGGGGCAACGTTGTTCCCGATGTGCAAGACCTCCTAGTGCGGCCAGGAAGGCGGACCGGTACACGCAAGAATACAGGGTGTCGACGAGGCAGGGCTGCCCGCAGCAGAGGGGTTCCTCAGAGAACCCTGTGATCCCTCAGAGGAGGGGGGTGGGGGCTGTCAGACCAGCTGTCGGACCAGCTGCTGGCGTTGGGCGCCTTATCTAGAACCTTCCTGCCTCCGTTGTAACTTAGCCTACCCCTCCCTCAAATCTCTTCCCTCTCGACAGTGGTGGTAAACCCAGTGGAGTAACAGGAGGGGTGCAATTATCTGCTGAAACATTCAGATAAAGCTTCCAGAGTTTTTATTTTATTTACTTATTTTTAAAGATTTTATCAATTTATTTACAGAGAGAGGGGAAGGGGAGACCAAGACAGGGAGAGAAACACTGGTCTCAGGTGCCCCAGCTGGGACTGGCCCACAGCCCAGGCCTGTGCCCCGACCGGGGAACCACCCCAGTCACCTGTCACTTTGTGGGGTGACCCCCCACCCCCTGAGCTGCACCAGTCAGGGCACTTTGGGAATTTGTTAATCTATTGTCATTAACCCGTCGGTCAAATCACTCTTATTAATGGCTTCGGCAACACTTTGTTTTACTTGGAAGTTTCAAAACATACAGAAAAGTAAGAGACCCCTCCCCACCTCCCAGTTTCCACCCCTGTTAACCTGTTGCCAGTTTTGACTGATTTTTCTCCAGCCCCCTTCCTGCTACTTTGTGGGGGGTTTTGTGGGGCATGGGAGAGTTTGGCTGAAGAATCTACAGCATGTTTTTGGCGTGGACTGAGGTCCCCTGTGTGTGCTCCCGGGTTAAGCGGCTTCTTGGTTCAGGAGGGGGTGGGTGATGTTGGAGAGGGGTCTCAGCCTTGCAGGTGTGGCGGGTTGGGGAGAGGACTTCCTGCTTGGCTCAGCGACGGCCTCCACCCACAGGTGTCATCCATTGCTCTGGGTGCGGCTTGGGAATCTGTGTTAAACTAGTTTCTCGGTGATTCTAACGTCCTGGGGTCACTTGGAGAAACTGAGGGAGAGTGGCGGGCAGGGGGGAGCCGGGCAGCCGCCGGAGTGGCTGCGGCGGGGACAGCGGGCTCGCCCGCTGCAAGCCCCGCCCCCGCCTCCCGACACCTCCCCGCGTGTCTCTTTCAGAACGGCATCATCACCGGCGTGTACCCGGCGAGCCCCTCCAGCTGGCTCATCGTCGTGGTGGGCGTGATGTCGACCATGTACGCCAAGGTCGACCCCTCGCTGGGAGTCATCGCCAAGATCAGTCGGACCCTCGACACAGCGTAAGGACCTCTTCCGCACCTCGGGTCCTCCGGGCGTCACTTTCTGTGTCTTGGTTGCTGGTGCCTGTGTCCTTCCGAGTGGCGCGACTGTCCCTGTTCTGGACTCAGGGCGATGCTTTCGCTCTTGTTCTTGCGTCTGCCCTCCTCCCGAAGCTGGGCTGCTGTTCAGACTCCCGCTGTCCTTGACTGTTTCCGGCCTATTCCCGGAGGAGGGACAGTCCCCACCTCCTCACGCCACCATCAGCGTTGTTTCTCAGGCCTGGAGTCCTAAATGTAGGGACGAGACGCAGCCCGTGGGTATGGCCTGAGTGGCACAGAGGAGCTGGGACCTTTGCCTAGGTCAGCTCTGGCTGGTTTTGGGATTTAAATGTCATTCTTCCAGCTGAGTCACCCACAGTCCCAAGTGGCCTTGGGAACGCTGGCTCGTGCCTTTTTAAGCAGCTGGGGCCCCGGATAAAGACTTCCTGGTCGTTTCGAAGGGGGCAGGCCTGTCCTGGACGCCTGCCCGACTCCCTGGCCTGCCTGTGGGCTGGGGCGGCCTGGGCAGGCACCTGGTCACCCTCGGCACTCTCCTCCCTCCCGTCCCCAGTCTCCCTGCTTTCGCCCTGCCGTTCCCCAGGGGCACCGGCCCATCCCCTGCACACAGCTGGGCCCGAATATTGTGCTGTTTTACCTGCTTCTCAGCCCCCTGGCGTGCGCTTGGCACAGATTTTTAATGTACTCTGGACTGTGGGCTGCCTCTTAACACTGGATTATACCTGCAAGTGTTGGCTATTTAAAGCCCTGGTAATCTGGATCTTTCTGAGATTTGTTTCTTCATCCCTCTAAACCAGTGGTGGTAACTGAGCCATCACGTCCCAGGTTTAGAAAGACCAGGTTAGGGGCCGTGCTGGAGCTCTCTGTGATCTGCGTGCATCGGGGGAGTGTGGAGGGCTTTTCCCTCGGTGACGTGGCACTGGGACACCTGACCTGAGGGCCGTCTCAGAGCCAGGTTCTTCCCTCCCTGCACCAGCTTCCTGTGGGTGCGACTGTGGGAAAAACGTGTAGAGACCACGGTTCAACTTGAATTGGTTCTGGACAGGTTTGACGGGTTCTGGAAAGATACGTTTGTTTGTTTTTTAAAAGATTTTATGTATTTATTTTTAGAGAGGGGAAGGGAGAGAGAAAGAGGGAGAGAAACATCAATGTGTGGTTGCCTCTCACGCACCCCCCAACCGGGGACCTGGCTTGCAACCCAGGCATGTGCCCTGACTGGGAATCAAACTAGTGACCCTTTGATTCCCAGGCTGGCACTCAGTCCACTGAGCCATGCCAGCCAGGGCTCGAAAGATAGGTTTTGAAGCAATGCCTTTGACCTCGAAGAAGTGTTTCTGTGCTGCTTCACTATAAAATGTTAAAGTGACGTTTCCCCAAAAGTGGCGACGCCTCCACGTTGTGTATTGGTTGTTTCAGTAATCTGAAGCACACTCAGTTTTTATTTTATAAATATCCTGTTGTTCTCCAAACAACAGAAATGAAAACAAAACCACAAAGGTGTGTGAATGCCGCGGTCCGGCCACAGCAGGTCAAGGGGTCCCACAGGTGAGGGTAAGGCGTCGGCGCTGGGTAACAGACGACATCACGCCTCAAAGGACAGTGAAGCTCTGTTCCGTTTATTGCAAGTACAAGCAGGTTTTTATATTTTCATTTTAGGTAGTGATTAACATTTGCAGTATAACATGATCATTTAAGCAGAAAAAATTAATACAAAGGTAATCAGGAAAAGTACGAAAGTTCCCATAGATTTAGTTATAATAAACAAAGATTATTTTGACCAGGAGAGCTATTAATCAGACAATTAGAAGTATCTTATTGTATATTAAAGTTTCTTAGAATTTGTCATAGGGCAAAAGGATACGCTAGATTGAGTAGAGATAATAGGAAATTTATCATAAGGCCCTTGTGATGTCTAACTTAGCTATCTGTCCTTTTCTGTCTAAAATGTTTCTCTGTGTACTATAAACTCTGACTCTTTAGTAACTGTTTAGTTTGTAATAACTAGCCAGCTTTTGTTATTTCTTTGCCTGTCTAGTTGATATATATTCTTATTCAAGGTAAAGGAGGGGCTGTTACTCAGACAGGAAATCCAGCCACAGTTGCCTCTGTCTTGCAGATCATCTCAACCGTCCCGACCGTATCCCTGGGCTGTGGGTAGGGGTCTATATAGTTTTTACTTGTCTTCTTGGAAGACCCTTTGTATCTGTGGGTGAGGAACAGTCGTGGGAAAGGTCTAAGCGCACTATCTGAATCACTGCCAGGGTATTCATAATGATTAAAGCAGAAAAGGTCATGATCCCCAAAGCAAGCACAATCACAATAGGTATTGCAGGGCCTTCCATGCCACGTCCACCAGGTTGGAAACTGCTTCCTTGAAGTCTTACACCCCCTCTCAGGACCTTGTCACGGAGAGAGGGATCCAACAGTGGATGCGGCAGTGGACGTGGCATGTGAATGGCTGTAAAATAGCCATTCCTTGTTGTAAAATAGATCACTTTCCTCAGCAGATGAAGACATACTGTCTTCATCACTTAAGAGATCGCTTTATACGATCGGGTTCTCTGCGTACGCGTGGTAAATGCTCCCACCTCCACCAAAAACAAGCTCGCTTGCTGGGAATAGTTGAGGTAACAGTTTTGCCAGATAGTCTGGGTTCCGTGTAAGTAACAGTGACATCCAAAGGGACGTTTGAGACACAGGAGAAGGGACAGGATGGGGACGGCTGGGCACCTTCACCCCGGGGGCAGGCCGCGGCCTCCATGTCACCTCTGCTGTCGTCCCGAGACCCTGGAGGCCACTGTGCGTTTCCCCCACTGCACGAATCGGCCTCCGCTTGTTTTGAGGGTCTCGGGTGCAGACGGGGCTGGTTCCCGCCAAGGCGAGAGGCACGTTGCCCGAGTGTCCACAGTGGGGCTGAGATGCGCGTCCTCTCTCGTCAGGCCCGGCTCTGGTTCCCGACCCTGGGGCTGCCGTGTCCTCAGCGTCCACTGTGGTGCCTGGCGGAGCCGGTCCCCGCAGCCTCTCCTGCTACTCACGGGTCCCCCCGGTCTCGTTGTCTTGTAGGGGCTGCATGTCCAGCCAGACGAGGCACGTGGTCAGTGGCGTGCTGTTCGGCACTGGCCTGTGGGTGGCCCTGATCTTCACCATGCGCTACTCCCTGAAGGTGCTGCTGTCCTATCACGGCTGGATGTTCGCCGAGTACGGCAAGATGAGCCGCGCCACCAAAGTCTGGATGGTAACTGAGCGCGCGCTCCGGGCCCCCTGTCCCTGTGCCCTTCACGCCCGCGGCCCCAGCCCCCAGCGGCCCCCGTTCTGTTTGCTGGTCAGTGACTCGGATGACCTCAGGTTCCGCAGGTCCGCGAGGTCAGGCCGACTGTCCTTCTGCGTCTGGCCCGTCTCACTTAGCCCAGAGTCTCGTGGGGACCCTCATGGGACCTGTCTTCCTCTGACCCCTGGTGACTCCGGCGCTGACCTCTACTTGCTGGAGGGGCTGGATTCACCGTGACTCAGAGGTTTGGGCCAAAGGGTACTTTTCTTGAGTGACATTTGGGAGATCTGAACATTTTATGTGAATGTCCATTAGATCGGTCTTCCTGGTCATCTATGAAGTAAAAGTGCCACCTGCTCACTTCCTGGTAGCTTTGCTTTTAAAAAATTGCAAAAATTTTTTATTTGATTTTTTTTTGAGAGAGGGTAAGAGAGAGGCATCAATGTGCTGTTCCACTTATTTATACAATTCATTGGTTGATTCTTACATGTGCCCTGACCAGGGATTGAACCCGCAACCCTGGCGTATCAGGAAGGCACTCTAACCAACTAAGCTACCCAGCCAGTGTCCTTATAGCTTTTCTAACTTGAAGTCAGGGTTAAGTGGTTTCCCCGCTGACCAGTCCAACCAGCCCCCCGAGAGTCATTCACGTGCCCCGTGCGAGGTTGTTTGTGCCGATTTCAGCCAGTGCTGGCTCTGTCTGCCAGCTCATCGGTGCCCTCCCAGCCCCCCGGGACCCGCAGGGGCAGAGTTCTGGGAGGCAGCACTGTGCGTGAGCCCGCCGCACGCCCCCCGTCGGTCTCTCCCAAACCGACTTCCACTAGTGCTGGGAGTACGTTTTCTGGTTTCCAGAGAAGCAGAATGGAGCACGCAGGACAGACGCAGACAGAGGTGGCCTCCCCCACCTCAGCAAACAGGTGACGGCCCTGCAGGTGACACCCAGGGCTGACGTCCCGCTGGGTTCCAGGGCTCTTCATCATCCAGAGTCACCCCCGCACACCCACCTCATGAGCCCTAGGAGTCCCTCTGAGGTCTGGTCAGCACGAAATGACCGGTTATTGCGCCAAGTTCAGATCACTGCAGCCAAAAGCAAGGGCCGATGGCGGGCAAATGTGCTGGCCACAAGGCTTGACAATGACCGAAGGGCCACCCTGCTTCTGGGATTGGCTTCAGGTCCAGGCACCTTGGCTCCGAGCCTTGAGCTGATCCTGAAGCAAGAGCCCCGCAGAAGTAGGTGGGCGAACTTACCCCTCACGCAGAAGGGCAGTCAGACCGCCGCGTCAGGGTGCCCGAGGAGGCCCCTGGCCAGAGGGCCTGGCACCTGGATGGGGTGGGACACATCAGGGCGTCTCTCTGACCCAGGTTTTTGTTTGGCCCGATGGTTATGTGGGGACCTCTGCTTCTTCGCAAAGGCCTGTGAGGGGAGGGGCAGAGAACAGGCTGGAGGCTGGAGGCCCGCGAGGACTAGTTGTAGACCCTTGGTGTCGTCTCAGCGTTTCAACGTACCTGTTTTTTCAGGGCATGGTCAAGATCTTCTCTGGCCGCAAACCCATGCTGTACAGCTTCCAGACGTCTCTGCCGCGCCTGCCGGTCCCTGCCGTGAGAGACACAGTGACCAGGGTGGGTGTGGCCGCGCCCACGGTGGTGCCCACTGGGAAATGCCGGTCGTCCGTGGGATTGGGGCTTACGGTTTAACAGCGGTTGTCAGTTAACTGGCCGTCGCTCGGACGTGGAGCCCCCAGCAGCACCCGGGGGGCCGTTCCAGGAGGTCATTTCCCCCGCCTGTCAGCACAGCGCAGGCACCTTTGTGAAAGGCGTCCCGTTTGATAGAGAAGCCCTTTGAGAGGCTCCAAAACAGCTTCATCGAGGTCTATCCACCTGCCATCCAGATGCGCCCCGAGGGTCCGACTCAGTGCTTTTGCGGGATCCCCTCACTCGTTTTCTCAAATGGGGCTAATAGAACCTTCACATCAAAGTGACCACATCAGCCCTGGAAAGGGGACCGTTCTGTGGCAGTGAGTCCACTCACAACGTGAAAATCCTGGGCCTGGAGACCTGGCTCGGCCTGGTGGCATGCTGGTCCCTGCCCCCCGCCAGCTTCCCCCGGGTCATCGCACATCGCAGGCCATCGCAGCCGAGGTAGAATGGAGCCCTTGTCACGGGCCTGATAAGGGACACCCCTGAAGTTGCTTCGTTCACTAATCGGGCCTTGTCCAGCTGGGTGTCACCTGGGTGATTGTCCGGTGATGCAGGATCGGGGGAGTGTGTAGGCCAATTGGGATGGAAAGGTTTCATTGTTCCATTATCAGTCGCCCAGAACGTCACGTAGCATTGGAGTTGGCTGGCAGGCGTGGGGGCCAGCAGAGCCAGCCTGGGGGGAGACTCGGACCTCTCCCCATGGGCCGAGTTTTTAGTTTTTTCCTACGGACGCCGCGGGTTTTAACTTGGCTTGCATGTCTCTTGCTAAAACCCCAGTATCTGGAGTCGGTGCGGCCTCTTATGAAGGAAGCCGAGTTCAAGCGGATGACGGCTCTCGCCGAAGATTTTGCCGTCAGCCTCGGGCCCAGATTACAGTGGTACCTGAAGTTGAAGTCCTGGTGGGCGACCAATTATGTAAGTACACACGCACGGTTCTCCTCGGTGGACTGTGGGGTGTCGACCCGCCCGTGAGAGGGGGCATTCTCGAGTGGACCCGGTGGCGGCAGGGGTCCGGGTTTTGGGGAGCAGCGGGTGTGGAGCAGCCCCACTCTGGCCGCTGCTGGTCTGGTCTGGGACATACCTGGGACCCAGACCAAACCAGCAGGGGGCCGAGTGGGGCCGAGGCGCCATCTGGGACGGTATCGATCGTTAAGAAATGTCAGCACTCAGCCGCTGGTCACTCTTGATCGGGTCTTTTCCAACGAACTGTGGAATGGAGGCGGCCTCCCAGTGGCTCTGCATCGTGACCTACACGGAGCCCGCTCCCTGCCTCCTGTTTTCCACAGTCCACGCACCCCTGCAGGCCCCGCATCTGCCTCACTGTGCTCTTGGGTTTGCACTGCAGGTGAGCGACTGGTGGGAAGAGTACATCTACCTCCGGGGCCGGGGCCCGCTGATGGTGAACAGCAACTACTACGCCATGGTGAGCGAGTCTTTGTGCCGCAGCCTCTGGGGCGGCTCCAGGGCGCGGCCGGCCCTGCCGTCCTGCCCCCTCTGCCCAAGGCTGCACGCCCCCCAGGGAGCCGCGGACGTGCTCCGGCCTTGGTGAGGCTGCTCAAGGGCGCCGCGCGCCTGCTGGGGAATCTGGGTCCCTGAACGCCCCGGGGGCCGGCAGGCATTCCTCCCGGCCGGAGTGGGTGCCCCCCCGCCCTCCGTTTTCCTAACAGTGCTGCGTAAACACAGGGTCGCCGTGGCTTGAAGGGCTCGGGCAGCGTTGTCGGCCACCAGCCTGCCCGCTGAGCTTTGTCCCTCGGCCCTGAGACACCACAGAGTCGCTTGTCACGTTTCATTTCCATGTGTCCGGTCTGTTGCGACACTGGTGGCCTTGGGGGGGGTGCATGTCATATTTTGTTAGAAGCCCCTCGGTGTGGCTTCCAGGGCATCCTTTAATTACTGGTGAGTCAAATTCTTTCTCTTTCCCTTGCTATTTTTAAGATTCTATTTATTCATCTTTAGAGGGGAAGGGAAGGAGAGAGAGAGAAATATCAATGTGTGGTTGCCTCTCGTGTCCCCTGCTGGGAACTGGCCTGCAACCCAGGCATGTGCCCTGACTAGGAATCGAACCGAGATCCTTTGGTTCATAGGCCTGCGCTCAATCCACTGAGCTACACCAACCAAGGCTCTTCTTCTTCTTCTTCTTTTTTTTAAAAAAAAAAAGATTTATTTATTTACTTATTTATTTTTAGAGAGTTGGGAAAGGGAGGGGGAAGGAGAGAGACGAGAAAGATGGATGTGAGAGAGAAAGGTCAGTTGGTTGCCTCTCACATGGGCCCCAACGGGGGACTGAACCTGCCACCCCGGGCTGTGCCCTGACTGGGGAACTGGATCGGCGACCTTGAGGTTTGTGGGGCAACACCCCCCCGCTGAGCCACACCAGCCAGGGCTCTTGTTTTAAAAACGGATTTGAGAGAGTGAGACAGAGAAGCACCAGCTCATTGTTCCTCTTGGTCAGTGCGTTCGATGGCTGATGCTTGCATGTGCCTCGACCTGGGACTGGACCCGGCGGCACCTTGGTGTCCGAGGACGTCGCCGACCCGGCGGAGCCCAACCAGCCAGGACCCCCTTCTGGTCTTTCCCTCCTTTTATTTTCCCCTGTATTTCTCTTTAAGGCTTGTTCTTTTTTCCTTTGAGCTTTTTTCCCACCAGAAACACTCTCAGACCAACGGCACAGCCGTGGGCCCGGTGCCCAGGGGTCTTGGAGAGGGAACTGCCCGCCGCGGTCCTGTCCTTCCCACGCCGGCAGGGACACGCTCTCCGGGTCCAGTCCGACCGGTGTCCCGCGGCCTTCCCTCCCGGTCCGGGAAGGTGACCTTTAGAAATGTGTCCCAAGGGTCAGGAAGTCGCGGGCACCGGAGCGCGTGATACAAAAGGTGGCTTTTCTGCTCCGGCTGCTTCTCGCGCAGGAAGCCTCCTGGCCGCCTGCTTCTCTGTTATTTCTGGTTTTCCCTTTATGCGTTCGTTTTACGAGGGTATTTGGGGCAAAGTACTTATGTCATTTTTTCGATTTGAATTATATTCATTTAAAAATTAGTTAAAAAATACACTGTTACCTGCCCTGGCTAGTGTGGCTCAGTGGATTGAGTGCTGACCGGTGAACCGAAGGGTTGCAGGTTCAATTCCCAGTCAGGGCACATGCCTGGGTCGTAGGCCAGGTCCCTGGTGGGAGGCATGTGAGAGACAACCACACACTGATGTTTCTCTCCCTTTCTCCCTCCCTCCCCCCCTCTAAAAATAAGTGAAATCTTTAAAGTTTATATATGTATATACGTGCGTATGTGTGTATATGTTACCTTTACTGGCGCAAAAATTACTTGGGGGTTTGTGTTCTTATAAACCATGAACAAAATAAAATCTGTGCTCTGGCTGAGTAGCTCAGTGGGTTACAGGGTTGTCCTGATACGCCAGGGTTACGGGTTTGATCCCCAGTCAGGGCACATGCGAGAACCAACCAGTGAGCGCATCCGTGAGTGGAACAACAAATCAATGTTTCTCTCTTTCTCTCAAATCCATAAAATAAAGTGAAACTGGCAAAGTTCGGGAAACGAAAGGACAGTTTGTTTTCCAGCAGTGCAGGGGTGGCCCGGGGCCCGAGCGCCCGCCGCGTGCTCAGGCAGCCTGCCGGCCCCCGCGAGCTCTGTCCCCGCTGACCCGCGTCCGTTGCAGGACCTGCTCTACGTGACGCCCACGCACATCCAGGCCGCCAGGGCGGGCAACGCCATCCACGCCATCCTGCTGTACCGGCGCAAGCTGGACCGGGGGGAGCTCAAACCGGTGAGCAACCGGCCGTTTTTCTAGACAGATTCTTGCAAAACCAGCCTCATGGGGTCTGGCTCACTGCTCAGTGGGGGAGTCCGGGGAAGACCGGCCACCACGCTCGGGGCGTGGACACAGCCATCCCCCCAGCTTCCCTCCCCCTGCTCCTCTGTGCTCGGCTGCCCCCGTGCCCTGTCCTGTGACGCGCCCCTCCCCGCCTGTCATCCACCAGGTGCCCCCGATCTGCCTTCTGTCACTCTAGGCCACTTTTCTTTTCACTTGGTCTGATGCACTCACTTCTGTCACTTGCCTCTCGAAGAAGCTCCTGTTTGCTTTGAAGGAGAGTGATACGGCTGGTGAGCCACTCAGGAGACACAAGACACTTCTTTTGTAAACAGCCCTGGGGCGAAGTGTTGGTGGATACAAGACCGGTTAGAGTGTGACACTCAGGAGGGGACAGTGTGGGAGGCCGTGCCCTGGTGTGGTCCGGCAGGTCCCCGAGGAGCCGCTGTTCCTCACGCGTTGGGGGAAGGTTAGGCCAGGCGGCGCCGTGGACTCGGAACACGAGTCCCGCGTTCCGGGTGTGGTGTTGGAGTTCGCTCCTCCCTCGCCTGTGGAGTGTTTGTGCGACACACTTTCCTTTCACAGATTCTTCTCTTGGGGTCCACCATCCCGCTGTGCTCCGCCCAGTGGGAGCGGATGTTCAACACGTCCCGCATCCCGGGAGAGGAGACCGGTGAGTGCTGGGACAGGGGCGCCCCTCCCGCGACAGCGCGCGTCCCGGGGCCAGGCCTTCGCCGCCCGGTGAGCCGTGCTCCCAGGGGGCGCATTCTTTCGGATGCGGTTGTCAGTGGGATCTCTGTCTTAGTTTCTCTTTCTGATGGTTCGGTGTTAGTGCACAGAAACGCACCTGATTTTTGCGTCCTACCACTTCCCACAGAATTTGTCTGTTGGTTCGAATGGTCTCTGTGTGGAGGCTGCAGGGGAGGGGCGCGCAGGCCTCGGGCCTCCCGCAGCCCAGGGTGGCTACGAATGTGGCCCAACACCAAATTGAAAACTAAAGCATTAGGAGACTTTTTTTTTGTGATTACGTGTCCGGATGTATTTAATGTGTGGCCAAGACAACTCTCGTTCCAGCGTGGCCCAGAGACGCCAAAAGGTGGGACACCCCCGCTGAGGGCCTTCTACATGTAATATCCCGTCACCTCTAAATAGTGACGGTTCTCTCCCTTCCCCTTCAACTGGGCGCCTTGTCCTTTTTGGGGCCTGCTTGCTCTGGCTGGGACGTCCAGCACCGTGTTGAGTAACGGCGGCGAGAACGCGCCCCGGCGCGGTCACGTCCACAGTGGACACCCTCGGTGGCGCACTGCTGCGAGCTGTTCCTCTAAGACCAGGAATGAGACACTGTCTCCTCCTCCTGCTCATCGTCTGAGGGCCCTGACCGCGGGGTCCGTGTCACCAATGAGAAAGTGGAGGCTCAGTGGGGGCGGTTAAGTCCTGGGCCCAGGCCGACAGGTCTCCCGCATGGCCAGACCCAGAGGTCCGGCTGGTCCGGCTCTGGGGCTCCAGGCCCTGACCCCACGCTTCGCCCTCTGCAGCCGGGAGCGGCGGACACACGAGCCGGGTGGAGCGGTGTGGGGCGAGGGGCGGGCGCCTCCCTCTCAGCCTCTGACCTGCGCCGTGGGTTTCACGTCTTGCCCCCTAGACACCATCCAGCACGTGAGGGACAGCAAGCACCTGGTCGTGTTCCACAAGGGGCGCTATTTCAAGGTCTGGCTGTACCACGACGGCCGGCTGCTGCGGCCCCGGGAGCTGGAGCAGCAGATGCAGAGGATTCTGGACGACCCGTCGGAGCCGCAGGCCGGGGAGGCGAAGCTGGCGGCCCTCACGGCAGGAGACAGGTGCGCGGCCCCTCCGCCACGGGCATCTGGGGCGGGGGCGCCCCGCGGGACGAGGGCCCTCGTTGGTCCGGCTTTGTTCCAAGGGAGCGGGTCTCACCCTGCCCTCCAGTCACTGTGGCCGCCTGTGGTTTCCAGGGCACAGGACACAGAAGTCAGGGGTCAGGCTTCTGCAGGGGCCGCCTCATGTGGAATTTAGGCGACTGAACGTTGTGAACCAAGGCCTGTGTCGGCTCGATCCGGCCTCGTCCGGAGGCCACTCGGAGGCCTGTGGTGACCTGGGGACGCAGCTGGCACACGTGTCTCAGTCTCGGCTCTGAGATGCTCGGGCCGGATCCCTGTTCCGGGGGCCCTGTCCTGTGCGTGGTGGGTGATGACGAGCACCTCTGGCCCCGACCGCTGGAATGCCATGGCAGCACCCGCATTGCCACCAGCCACACTGTCCTCGGGCTTTGCCTGAAGTGTCACTGGGGGACAGTATCATCCCTGTCCGAGTCCCTGAGGTACAGCAACGTGGCATTGTTACCGGGAATTAGGAGTGAGGTGGTGAGACTCTTCTGCAGAGGAGAGGACAGTGCCCCGGGCGAGGGCACCCCGGGGTGGCAGGAGCTGCAGGGTGGGGCAGGAGGTGGGGACTTGAGGCAGGAGGGTCCCGTGGGCCTGCTGGCATTTGAGCACCATCCTGTGACCGGGGTCATTAAAGGGGCCACTCTAGGCTACAGCGACCCGAGCTGATTTACGGGACTGTTCTGGCCCCGGGGCCCCTGGACCCAGGGGCCCTCATGTTGGGAGGACGGGACAGGGCAGTGTGAGCGGGAGGGGCAGCTTGGCCGAGAGACTGGGCGAGTTTGGCCACTGCTGGGGCACAGACTCAGCCACAAGGGGCAGTGGGGGGCGTCCTGGGGAACGAGCCCATGTCCCGAGTGCTGAGTGTCAGCGGGGTGGTGTGGGGTGCAGGGGCCACCGAAGAGTGGGGCACCGGCCACCGCTTCCCCCTCAGGACTCAGTGAGCGCCCAGCGCTGGTGTTGCCTGCTGGGGGTGCCGTCCATCTCGGCTGCCCGAGCCCTTCACGCCGACGCTGCTGTGGCTGCCAGCTTGTCACCTGCCCGAGCCCACAGACCCCGAGTGTGTCTAGTCACGTGTCGCCACTGATGTCACCTGTTGTGGGGGGCAGCAGTCACAGGCGGGCCATGTCAGGACCCATCATGTTTACGGGCCTTTTGGGACCACGGGCGCCTCGGCCAGGCCCTCAGGGAGAGAAGAGGGCAGGAGACTGGCTGGATGACCGTGGACTGGAAGGGCGGGCAGGGGCTCAGGACCAGCGAGGCCCGAGTGAGGGGCTGGGGCCATCGGAGGAAATCGGGGTGGCTCCAGGGAGGCTGGTGTCATGTCAGGTCCCCGTGTCTCACGTAAGATGGGACAGAAAAGAATCCCTTGACCTTGGCTGTCGGGTGTAGGGTCCCTCATCATGGGATGTCCTTTGTCATTTGTATGTGGACTCGGGCAGGCTGGCGTGGGATTGACTCCCTCTCTGCCACCAAGTATCTGTGACCGCATCTCTGTGCCTCGGTTTCCTCATCTGGAAGCTGGGCGCGGCAGGGTAGATCGGTGAGCTGGTCCTCGGAGGAGGCGCGGCAGAGCCTGGCACGGGGAGCTTCCCCGCCCCGGCTGCGACTCTCAGGACAGTCCTGAAACAGGTCCTTCTCCTGAAGTTCCTAAAAGCCTGTGACAACTGTGAAAACCGGTGTCACTCCAGTCGTCACGGCAAGGTGACGCCCTCAGACCGCCGCAGTCTGACCGTGCTCGACGCCCCCCCCCCAGAGTGCCCTGGGCCCGGTGCCGCCAGGCCTACTTCGCGCACGGGAAGAACAAGCAGTCCCTGGACGTGGTGGAGAAGGCGGCCTTCTTTGTGACGCTGGACGACACGGAGCAGGGGTACCGGGAGGAGGACACCGAGACGTCCCTGGACACCTACGCCAAGTCGCTGCTGCACGGCAGGTGTTTCGACAGGTACGGTCCTCGCCGTGTGCCCGTGAACCTGGCAGGGACCCCCCGTGTGGCCGACTGGCCTCGGGCGTCTGCGCCCGTGAGGAATGAGGCCGCCTGAGTGCACAGCTGTTGACTTTCTCGGCTTCACCCAAACTGTCTGTCTGTCTGTCTGTGTCACACACACACATAGTCTGACGTCTGAGATTCTACCCCACTGTGCACAACCGCATCCGTGAGGAAGGGCTGGTTCGGTGTGGGTGCAGGGAAACCCGGTGGGAGGAGACGGACGGACGGACGGACGGGCGCTGCCTGCGAGGCCTCGCCGTGTCCGCGGGTGGGGCCCTGCCTGCCCGGCCGGCGGGGAGTTGGGGGGCAGGAGTGCGACCTCCCTTCTCTCCACAGTCGCCTTGCTCCTCACAGGGCCGTGTCCTCGTGTCTGAGTCTGGCGTCCGCCGTCTGCCTCTGTTCTCACTTCGGTGAATCCCTAACCCCTGGGGACTTTTCGGGGGCCGGAGGCAAAGTCAGCGCCCCCGGCCCGATGAAACATAGTTACAGTTTTTGTTCATTTTTCTCTCTTTACACTTTGACGTCACACACACACACACACGTTTGTGTCCCCGTAGGTGGTTTGACAAGTCGTTCACGTTCATCGTCTTCAAAAACGGGAAGATGGGCCTGAACGCCGAGCACTCCTGGGCCGACGCCCCCATCGTGGGGCATCTCTGGGAGGTGAGCTTCCGCGGTGCCTGACTGCGGTAGGCGCTTTCACGTGTGTCGGTCGGTACCGCGCGTGAAGTCCACACACAGACCCGAGACTCCGTGGCGCCCCCTCCCCCATGGCAGGTCCCCCGCCCGGCGACACGTGAGAGCCACCTCCTGACGGCACGCAGACGGTGGAGTGGCAGGGACGTCAGGACAGAACTGAAGCTGTTTGTCCTGAAAACCCACCCCTTTGCCGTGCTGTCTGGGTCCTCCTGCTCTGCAGGGTTTTAGGCCAGATAAAAGCGAGCATCTGAAAGTCTTGGTTTATAAGAACGCAGCATGCCTTTACCACATTATTGTATTCTTTTTAAAAAGGTTTTAGTTACTTATTTTTAGAGAGAGGAGAAAGAAAGGGAATCATGAGTGTGTGGTTGGCGCTCCCATGCCCCCTACTGGGGATCTGGCCCATAACCCAGACATGTGCCCTGACTGGGAATCAAACCAGCGACCCTGTGGTTCACAGGCCAGCGCTCAATCCATCGAGCCACACCAGCCAGGGCTGGACACTTTTTTACAAGACTGTATCCGCCCATTTGTCCCCCTGGGGCTCCACAGACTGTAGAGCGCACCTTGCCTTCTGCCACAGGGCCTTTGCGCCTGCTCTGTCTGCCCAGAAGACTCTTCCCCTGCCACCGGCCCCGTGTGACCCCACTCCTCAGTGTCCCTGTGCCCAACGGTCTCTCACAACTCAGTCAGGAGCCCCTGTCGTCCCTCCCTTGACTTCTCCCGACTGTGTTAACCTCCGGTTGGGGTCCTGGCAGAACGTAACCTGCTGTTCCTTCAGCGGGGGAAGTTTTCTAAAGGGGAAAACAGGGTTCATCTTGAAGACAGCAGCGTGGTCCTGGGACAGGTACCTGCCAGGGTAGCCAAGCACCAAAGGGTCCCCCACCAGCACCCGGCTCCGTTGGTGCCAATGGAGGCTCAGAGCTCCTCTCAGCCGGGAAGCCGGCCAACACCAAACCGCTGGCCCGTCCGGGCGGGACCAGAGGGCCCTTTGTACCTCCTTCCGCAACGCCATAGTCCGTACCAGGACTCGGGGCCGCGGGTGCCCCAGAGCTGGTTCTGGTGCGGAGGGCACACCTGCCTCACAGTACGGCGGTCACCGGAGACTGACAAGCTCAGGGGTATTTCTTAGGTGCTCCAGATGAGCGGGCACGGGGACTCAGACCAGGGTGACCCGTTGTGGTGGTGGCGTTTAACGGTCACAACACAGCTGACAGAATGACCTGCGGCTCCAGGGACCGTGTGGAGCCCAGAGTCTCCCGTGTGAGTGCGGGCTGAGCCTGTGTCCTGGGGGGTCCGTGCCGGGTTGGAGGGGCCTGAGCGGCGATGGGCGACAGCAGACACGCCTGGTCCGAGTTGGACTCTGTTCGCTCTCAGTGGGTTCCTGACGTTAGGACGTGCTACACACTGTGTCCCGGCGCTTAGCAGCTCAGACACAGCGGTGCCCTCTGGGGCTTGTCTGCGTGGCCCTCGCCTGCCCGTGTGCGTGGGCCCCCCGCGTCCCCCCAGAACCCCTCGCCCTCTGACAGTGTCACCGTCTGACCTCAGGTGGACTGTTCGTGTCCCTCACGGGAGGGGAAGCTCCCTGCGCGCAGGGATTCCGTTTTTTTTCTAATATTTTTTTACTGTACTTCCGGCCAAGATGCAGGCGTAGGCAGACACACTGGGCCTCCTTGCACAAGCAAAAGAAGGACAACAATGAATTCAAAAACAAAAAACAATCAGAACTGGCAGAAAATTGAACTGTATGGAAGTCTGACAACCAAGGAGTTAAAGAAGAAACACTCACCCAGACCGGGCGGAGCGGATGCGCGGTGGCAGAAGACTGGAGGGACCACATTTGGGTGCAGATAAACTGGGAGGAACAACTGGGGAGCCAGACAGACCCACAACCCAGGGTCCCAGTGAGGAAATAAAGCCTCAGACCTCTGATTGAAAACACCTGTGGGGGCTGAGGCGGCGGGAGAGACTCCCAGCCTCACAGGAGAGTTCGTTGGAGAGACCCACAGGGTCCTAGAACGCACACAAGCCTGCACACCCGGGAATCAGCACCAGAAGGGCCCCATTTGCTTGTGGGCAGCAGGGGCAGTGACTGCAATCGGGCAAAGAGCGGAGCAACGCCATTGTTCCGTCAGACCCCTTCCCACGTACAGCGTCACAACACAGCCACGTGGGTTGCCCCACCCTGGTGAACACGTAAGGCTCCATCCCTTACTAGGTATCAGGTGTGCCAAGACTAAAAAAAAAAAAAGGGCCTAAATGAAAGAACAGATCAAAGCTCCAGAAAAAAAGACAGCTAAGCCACAACGAGATAGCCAACCTGTCAGATGCACAGTTCAAAACACTGGCAATAAGGATGCTCACAGAATTGGATGACTATGGTCACAAATTAGATGAAAAAACGAAGGCTAGAAAAGTGAAGTAAAGGGAAATGTACAGGGAACCCAGAGTGACAGGAAGGAAACTGGGACTGTAATCAACGGTGTGGACCAGAAGGAAGAAAGAAACAGTCAACCAGAACACAATGAAGAAAAAAATTCAAAAAAATGAGGAGAGGCTTAGGAACTTCCAGCACAACTTTAAACGTTCCAACGTCTGAGTCATGGGGGCGCCAGAGGAGAAGAGGAAAAGCAACAAATTGAAAACTTATTTGAGCAAATAATGAAGGAGAACTTCCCCAGTCTGGCAAAGGAAATAGACTTCCGGGAAGTCCAGGAAGCTCAGAGAGTCCCGAAGAAGTTGGACCCAAGAAGGAACACACCAAGGCACATTAACTTACCCAAGATTAAAGATAAAGAGAGAATCTTAAAAGCAGCAAGAGAAAAGGACACAGTAACCTACAAAGGAGTTCCCATCAGACTGTCAGCTGATTTTTCAAAAGACACCTTGCAGGCAAGAAGGGGCTGGAAAGAAGTATTCCAAGTCATGAAATCCAAAGACCTACATCCAGGATTGCTCTATCCAGCAAAGCTTTCATTTAGAATGGAAGGGCAGAAAAAGTGCTTCCCAGATAAAGTCAAGTTCAAGGAGTTCATCATCACCAAGTCCTTATTATATGAAATGTTAAAGGGACTTATCTAGGAGAAAGGAGATAAAAATATGAACAGTAAAATGACAACAAACAGTTATTAACAACCAAACCTAAAAACGAAAACAAACTAAGCAAACAACTAGAACAGGAACAGAATCACAGAAAGGAGATCACATGGAGGGTTATCAGCGGGGCAGTGACGGGGAGAGAGAGAGGGGGAAAAGGTACCGAGACTAAGCAGCATAGATGGTGGGCAGAAAACAGACAAGAGGAGGTTAAGAACAGTGTAGGAAATGGAGAAGCCAAAGAACTTACATGTATGACCCATGGGCATGAACTTAAAGGGGGGAATGTGGGTGGGAGGGGGTTTGCAGGGCAGAGGGGAGTGAAGGGAGGGGAATGGGACAACTGTAATAGCACAATCAATAAAATGTATTTTAAAATATTTTTTATTGAGAGAATTCACAGACCATAAAATTCCCCCTCTCGACGTGTCCCATCCAGTGGGTTTGTGGGTGCACAAGGTGGCTGTGCAGCCCCCGGCACGGAGCCAGGACACTTGTCAGCCCCCCAGACGGGCTCCATCCCCCGGCCCCTGGCAGCTGCCCATCCCCCTTCTGTCTCCGGACCTGCCGACTCTGGCCGTTGCGCAGAGACGGAACCACAGAGTACGTGGTGTGTTTTGTGCCTGGCCCCCACACTGGGCACGTCGACAGTGTCAGGCGGGGGGGGGGGAGGGGAGGGCCTTTCTTTAGCTACCCCGCCCCTTTTCATGGCCGGAGAGTGTTTTTTTGTGTGGACGGACCACGCTCTACTTGTCTGTTCATCGCTTGACGGATGTCTGGGTCGGTTCCACTTCTCACCATGGTAAGCACTGCCTCTGTGAACACTTGTGCACAGGGCTTACGTGAACACACAGGTTGCTTTGTCCCGAGTGCGAACCCAGGACTGGCCTCGCCGGGTCAGGGGCCATGTTTCGCTGGTCGAGGAAGGGCAGAAACCCTTGTCTGCGGTTTACCGTTCGGTCTCGGTGCTCAGAGGCTGCAGTCCACGGATGGCACTCGGCCAGCCCCACGGAGGAAGTCGTGGGAAGAGGGTGTTCACGCAGCCCGGAGCCCTGGCCGTGGAGGACAGGTCGCTTCCCCTCGCTCCCTGAGGCCTCGTTTTGGCAGGTGTGCGACAGACCTTCACAGTGCAGGCGCGAGCGTCCCCGGGCGGCTCCCGGAGAACGCCCTCCCGCAGCCAGGACCCAGGGGCAGCTCTGAGCCGTCTCACGCAAGGGGTGGCGTCAGATGCTGTCGGCCTCGAAGTCCAGTCCCGCCATGGGGGGGCCTCTCGGTCCTCTCTCTCAGCTCTCCAACGTGCGGAGAACGCTTGTGCCCGCGCAGGGCCTGGCTCAGCTGCGCACAGGGCCTCGGTGCCCCGCGTGCTGTGAGCGTGTCCCCGCAGCGGCTGCTCTGATGTCCTGACAGTAGACTCGTCTGGGAAGAACACAGACCTGTCCACTTGGTGGGGGACAGATACGTTTCAGGTCACACTACGAACTCTCCATCTCTGTCTCTCTCCCCAACAGTACGTGATGTCCACGGACAGCTTTCAGCTGGGCTATTTGGAGGATGGACACTGCAAGGGGGACACAAACCCGAACATCCCGCACCCCACCCGGCTGCAGTGGGACATCCCGGAGGAAGTGAGTCCGACTTGCCACCGGGCATGGGTCCCGCGGGCTGGGCTCCTCTCCCGCTGTTCTTCCCCGGGGCCCAGGACTCGGCGGAAGCCCGCGGAGACTGACGTTCCACGTGCTCAGGGGTTTTTAGTAAAATCCTGGGCTGGCAGCTCCCGTTGCCTTGGAAACCCCGGGCAGCATTTCTTCTTCCGTTTGAGGATTTTAGCAAGATGGTCAGGGAGGTCTCCAGCTGAGACTTAGCTACACGTCACAGCGAAGAAGTGAAAAGCGGAATTTCCTCCTTTAGAGTCACAAATCCTCTCGGGTCATGAGTGTATAATGTTCGTTTCCCCTGAGGAGTCTCACATGTGGTCCATTCGGTACCCAGCCTGACCCAAGAAGCCACTGTCTGTGTCTCGAGTGATGGGCCCAGCACTTCAGTCTTGCCCAGCTGGACAAGACCCACGTTGCCCCGTGTCCCTGTTTCTGCCTCTTCCAGATGCCACCTGCGGGGGGCGCTGCTGTCCCCCTGTTTCAGACGGGCTTTTTCTGCTTAGTGATCTGTAGTTAAGATGCCTCCACGTTACTTCTTTTTCTTTTTAAAAAAAATTGACTTGAGAGAGAGAAAGAGGGAAACATCAGTCTGTTGTTCCACTTATTTATGCATTTAACATTTGGTTCTTGTATGTGCCCTGACGGGCGTTGACCCTGCAACCTTGGCGTATTAGGGCGACACTTTAACCAGCTGAGCCACCTGGCCAGGGCTTGCCACCTCATTTCATGGTGTGACGGCTCAGTCCACTGTATGGTTGGACCACGGTCCTTTTTTCTTTTTTCACTGGTTCCTTGATCGCCACTGTGGATTTTACAAGACAGCCCTGTGGCTGTTGGGGACGCCATCCGGTGTCCCACCAGGAGCCAGAGCACCCGTGTCCCGCCTGTGTGGGGCCCCCGTGGCTCCCCCAGGCGCGTGCGTGGGTGCCGTGTTGCTCGCGTACGGTGGCCCCCGGATGCCGTACTCAGGAAGGAACCAGAGGGAAGACACACCATCTGCACAACACGTCTAACCCACAGCCCTGCCCGCCGCCCCGAGACCGAGCTTGCATTTCCCTCTGCAGGTGGGTCAGTGCCCCCGCCCCTCCCACAACGAAAACCTTTTCTCTCCCCGCAGTGCCAGGAGGTGATAGAGACGTCGCTGGCCAGCGCCAGCCTCCTGGCCAACGACGTGGATTTCCACTCTTTTCCCTTCAACGCTTTCGGGAAGGAGCTGATCAAGAAATGCCGTGTGAGCCCGGACGCCTTCGTGCAGATGGCCCTGCAGCTGGCACACTACAAGGTGGGCGCCTCGGGTGGCCGGGGGTGGGGGGGGAGCGCGTCCCGTGCAGAGCCCAGGCCGGGCGCGTCAGCGCGGTCCTGTTGGGCCCTGGCCGTGTCCTGTGTCACACAGTGAGGTCTCCCTGCTCCGAAAAGGGGAGACTCCGACTCCGAGTGTGTGGTCAGGCAGAAATACTGAAGGCAGATGACTGGACCGTCTCTGACCTTTGACCCGGACCAAATTGACTCATCGTTGTCGATGCAAAGAACCCAAAGCAGCGCCAGCAGATAGACTCTGCCAGTGCAGGAAAAGTGCTACCAGCAGCCACCGCTCACACCAGCAGCGGGAGGGCGATGTGGTTATTCAGAAACCCAGAAACAGGGTAGGTCCTGTTATCGGGTGACAGAGGAAACCATGGCGACAGATACTAAACGTATCACGTCCGTTCCTGGTAACTTTGACCCCCAGGACCTGTCTCCTTCATGTGGCAAATGCCGCCACATGTCGGTAGCCAGCACAGGGCTGGGGGCGGCCCCGAGAAACAGGGTCAGGCTGCCTCCAGAACAGCCCCGCCCACTGTTCTGGAAGGTCCGGCGTGGACTGGTCCTCATGCAGGAAGGACATCTGTGCGTCCACTCGAGGAAAAGCTCTTGTGATGAGCGGCGGCTCAGAAAGGAGGCCCCGGGCAGTTACCCAGAGCCACTCAGGACGGGAGGGTGGGGGTGGGGAACTCAACACCCTGGACATGGACGAGTCTTCCCAGGTCACACTCGTTCAGGGGTACGAAGGCGGATTTGGGAGGGAGGTGGATCTTCAGGCCCATCTGGGAGCGCAAACCTGTGAGAAGAACCGGGGACGGTCTAAACAATGAAGGTGACAAGGTAGAGGCAGGACGGGGTGACGTGCAGAGCCTAAAACACAGACTAGATTGTGGTCTGCGGCACCGTTTGGTGCGGCCGGGACAGTTCCTCGCCGCAGTGTGCGGTAAAGGAGACGTTAACCTGTGTGTGTGACTCAGTTAGTGAACGGGGTCAGACAGTTTGGCCGATGGTTGCAGCTGGGGGCGGGGGGTAAACAGCCCAATAGAAAGATGCAGTTGGAGCAGAAGTGGGCGCTTATTTCACAAGAGAAGAGCATGCCAGACGGTTAGTGACGCACAGAAAGTCCTTCTTTCCCGGGAGCCCAGGGCGCGTGGCGTCCTCGGCCCTGCTGGGAGAAGTGTCCTTCAGGACAGGTCACAGAGGTGAGTGTGTCCGTGCCCCTCTGTGAGGATCCAGAGCCGTCTGAAGGGTGTCAGCCTGAGACTTATTAAGTCACAGCTTTTTCTGCGGGGGATGCTGGGTGACTGGTAAGCGACGTCTGTGCTGTGCATGCCATGGAAACACACAGAGCCCCCACCTCGGGGTGTGAGAGTCAGTCGTCACGTCACAGGGATCAACGAACTCCCTGGCCACCGGCCGTGCCCAGCCCTTCACCTGTTTTTGCCTGGCCCTTGAGCTGAGAACAGTTTTACATTTTTAATCTCTAAGAAGAAACCCAGAGAAGAGCAGTGTGGGTCCCAGGGTTTCCCAGAGAGCGCCATACGGCAGCCGGCCCACGCGGGCGGCGGCGGCCCCTGCCCTGCGCTGTGTCACTTGCGGAGCCGAGACCTGGGCGGGGGAGATCAGTCATTGTTTCCTTCAGTTTTTCTAATTTTTTTTTTTTGCACAAGCCCGTATCGCAGTTAGTCTTCAGGTAATAGAATTACTTTTTAAAAATTAAAATGTACTATTCTTTGCCTGCTGGCTGGAAATCATCAGGATTTCCTTCCGCGCCCCTTCCCCCCCCCCGTGAGTGTGCTGCACTCAGTCTGTGGAAAATGATCGATGTATTGAAGTGACCTATTAAAGATGTGGGTGAGGTTCATCCCTCCCACACTTACTTGTCTGTTTATCAAGTTTAGAGGCAGAGGGAGGGAGAGAGGAAGGGAAACGTCAACAGCCGGCTGCCTCTCATCCGCAGCCTTTGGTGTCCAGGACGACGCTCCAAGCAGCTGAGCCGCACCAGCCCGGCGTCCCAGACACTTCAGGGGACGCTCAGCCGAGCGCCGGCTTTGCAGGGACAGGGCCTTCTGGGGAGCTGGGTTCAGACCCAGCTCCGCCCGGCTCAGAGCCGTGGCGCCTCCCCGTGGCGGGGTACGGATCCCGGCGTCCTGCCCGGCCCCCAGGTCTGCGCCAGGCTTCCGAACCTTCTCTGTTCCTGGACCCCCTGGGCGGCTCGGCGACGCCTTCCCAGAATGTTTATAAAGCGTGCCAGGAAATACACGGGCCACCCTGGGCTAAGCAGGTCATTCAATGCAGATGTCAAAATAGTCAACGTAAATTTGTGGTGCAGTAAGTCTAACGAGGCAGTAAATTTTCAGGGCCAGCCTGGTAACTGCTGTAACTTCGAAGCGGTGATGAGCATAGGTGATATTTGGGATACGTGGGACCCACTGTAATTGCACGTGAAAACGGGTAGGTTTTTCTATTCAGAGTCACAGACACTGCTCACAACTACCGTGGTTTGTAGCCAGCGCTCCAGAGGCAGTAATCCAGGTTGAGGTCAGTGGACATTAAAACGGTTACATCCTCCAAGCCCACACATCCCGGAGGTTAGTGGCCGCCCCGACTTCCCTGACACCACGGGGGCCTCGTTCCCTCCCTGCTGCCCCCTGGCTGCTCTCCAACACGCGAGGCCCCTGCCCACCGCGGGGCCTCTGCACTTGCTTTCTTCACCAGGCCCGTGTCATTTCTGCTCCACGCACCTGCCCCTCACTGCGTGACACCACCTCCGCTCTCCTGCCAGGCCGTTTGCTCCCCGATGGCAGAGGCGTGAGCGGTCTTACTTGCCACCGTGTCCCCAGGGCCAGGACCGCGCCAGCCCCAGAGGAGGAGACGCCTGTGGTTGCGTAGTTACTGACTGGCTGAAATGAAGACCCTGGGCGGGGGCCCTGAGTTTGGTCCGTGGTGGTTTGCTTCCTGCTCTTCAGCCATGTTTCCCTTTCCCCGAGGAAGCGCGGAGCACGGGAGGCCCCGGCCTGCCCTGCGTGCCAGGTCCGTGTCCTCGCGCCTTGTGTGCTCGTGTGCTCGTGTCAGACGCTGTTGCCCCGTGCTGCTCGCTCGGCGCCGGGGCGCTTTGGTGGCGGCCGCACCGGACCGAGGCTGGGTGTGGCAGGTTAACGGGGGCTGCCGGCGTCACGGGCTTCGCTCTGCGAGGGTCCAAACACACTAATGTTCTGTGCGTGTGCCGAGGGGTTTCCAGCGGGCCTGTCCTCAGTTGTGGGGGTAGTGCATGATGGCCCTGGCCGCTCCCTGCGTCCGAGAGTGACGCGGACAAGGTGGCTTCAAGCGAATCGCTACATCTGGGTCCCCAGCGAACTTTTAGTAAATGACTAAGACACAAGGCTTCACTAAAATACCTTTCCTCCTCCCTCCCTCTGCCCTCCCCACTGCTTCATTCATGACAGGCCCCCCAGTAAGGGGTCTGCAGGGAGCTCTCTGAAAGGCCTGTCGGGCACGTAACCTCGGACCCCACCGGGGAATTTTAGTGGCTGGCGTGTTAGGGACGGGTGCCGTGAGTGGGTGTTCTCTGTTGGGGGCACAGGGAAGCCTTCCGTGGGGACCACCAGAGGCTGGGGTGCAGTCACAGAGGGGAGCTGAGCCCCCCCGCACACCGGCAGCCCCGGCAGCCCTCGGGGCTCTCACTGGTCCGGACTGCAGACCGAGGCTGTCCAGCCGCAGTGGGGTCGCAGGGGCCTGCGCCAGGCCGCACCCGAAAGCCCAGGTGCTGCCCACCAGGAATAATCTGGGTCCGGCCGTGTTAGGAACCCGCTCCTCCCTGAGCCCTGGTGGCCACCGGCGCCCATTGGGCAGAGTAGAGTGCTAGTCATCTCCTGGTGCAGTGCTTGCAGTGGGGTGTCACCTGCTGCGGGGACTCCGTCTCTGTCCCCCGCCCCCGCTGCTCCTCCCCGAGCCCTCGCTGGGCTCTCATCACCCCCCCACCCGCTCCTCTGCCTGCCACCCCCTGTCCTGGTCCTAGACCCCATCGCAGCCTCCACCTGTCTTGCCCCCCTTCTCTCCTCCCCGGCCCGAGGCCCCGTCCCTCACCTCAGCCCTGTGGCCCCAGGCACAGCAGAGCCCCCTGGTGCAGTCCAGCTCTCGGCCTGCTTCCTCCTGCTCCCAAGAAGCTGCCAAAAACCCCAGACTCCTGGCTCACCTCACTAGACTGACAAGCAGTGACTCGCCAGCCCGGGCCGCCCCCTCTGCGCCCCTTTGGGGTCACACCCCTTGTCGGACTCCCAGCACCTCCTCCCCTCCTCACTCAGCAGGTGACCTGTTCCACCGAGAAAACGAGTGTCCCCAGGGGACTTCCCACCTGCGCCCCACCCTCTGCGGGTCCCACTGCTGCTCTGTCCCCGTCCCCTCCTGTCCGGTGGGGCCCTGCTGGCCCCTCCCACGCAGCCCCAGTCTCTCCAGCGGGTGCTCCCACAGCCCCCAAACATGGCGGGGGGCCTGCTGCCGGCACCTCCACCTTTGAGTGACTTCAGACTGTTGCATGCAGGCCTGCTTGTCATGTGTGCTGTTTGCACTCAGAAGGCGTGTGCAGTTCGGGGACCTGCGCCCTGGCACCCGCTGCCCCTAACCCCGTGTGAAGACTGGCGGCAACTAAACCCGAGAGCTGACGGCCGCGGCCGCTCTTCCTTGCCAACCCGGTGCCTTTCCCACGTGTTCCCGCCCTCCCCACCTGCCGTCTGTGACAGTACCTTCTCCTCCGCAGGACATGGGCAAATTCTGCCTCACGTACGAGGCCTCCATGACCCGGCTCTTCCGCGAGGGGAGGACGGAGACCGTGCGGTCCTGCACCTCGGAGTCCTGCAGCTTCGTGCTCGCCATGATGGATCCCTCCCGAACGGTGAGGAGTGCGGGGCTGCGCACGCTTTTCCCAGGGGCCTCGTGGTCCAGCCGGTGACTCTGCGCTCGGCCCCTCCTTTCCTCCGGCCTCCCACGGGGACAGGAAGGGTTAAAACTTGGCAGTCAGGACACAGGGAGAGGGTGACATTCGTACCAGTCCTCTGTCATTCTGTGACGTCTGCAAATCAGGCTGCTCTTGCTGAGAGTCTTTGAATTAGAATCGCACACAGGTGAGTGAGGCACCGGAGGCTGGGGCTTTAGGCCAGTGTGAGTAGTTGGTGTCTGGGTGAGAACTGGGAGCCCTCCCCTTGGGGTGACTGCGGCCCGAGCAGGTGGGTGCTCGGGCTCCCTGGGAGCTGCCTTGGAACCTCGTGGCGGTCGCCCGTGGAACGCTGTCAGTTCCCGTTCGTAGGTTGAGGGACAGGCGCAGACGAGTTGAGCCCAGGTGCGCCTGACCAAGCCCAGGTGCTCACGCCTCCGCCCAGGGCCCTCTGCCCTGCTCTGTTCCTCGGGGGCGGGGCCCCCGGGTCCTCGGTGGGCGGGCACAGCCCACAGGGGCCGCCACTCCTCCTGTGCCGGTCCTGACAGGGCCCAGGGGAGCTGCCGCAGCAGCCTTGCAGGCCAGCCTGCGCGGCCCAGAAGCGCTGTTCTAGGGGGTGTACGACTCGCGGAAACGTTGCAGATGGAGCTTCATTTCCAGCCGAGACGGGGCCCTGAGGTCTCCTGCCTGCTGGGCGCCAACCTGGAAACAGGCTGGCGTGAGGTGGCGAGCGTTCACCCCGGACCACGAAACAACAGCTGTACGGGAAGCCCGGAGCAGGCAGACGCCCCCACAGCATTTGGACAGGAGACGGAGGCGGGGCGTTTGCGAGACAGGAGGGGGCGCTGTTCCGTCCCTAGCGGGAGGGCGTTTCTGCTGGTTCGAAGCTGTTTCTAAACAGCGTCTCCACGCTTCCGTCTGGGCGGGCCGGCGCCGTCTGCACTTCCTTCCCGTCTTCGCAGATCCTCCTCGGGGGCAGATCCTCCTTGGGGGGCACCGTGTTGCTTTGGGCTCAGCGCAGAGGCTGCTTTGCCTGGTTTGAACGTCCCCAGGGTTCAAAGCATAAGACACACAAGGCCGTCCCATCCCCCCCCCCGCCCCCACCATGGCGCTCTGGCTCCGTTTTAAAGTGCACACGTTTGTTACTGTTCTTACACGAGAGGTCTCATCTGTATAAAAGGTGTAATGCACCAGGTGGGCTGCCCACAGGACCCCCAAAGGGCTCCTCCAGCGACCGGTGGGGGGGGGGGGCTGTCAGGCGGTGGGGCCGCCGGGCAGGTCCCCTTGGCAGTTTGTCTCAGCCCCCCACTGGTCACCTGGTTTCAGCACCCCGTGGGCCTTGCGGAGAGGGGCCCGGGACCTTCACCCTGGAGCTCAGGCCTGCGCCGCACACCCCGAAACTCCGCACCCTGTGCCCTTTAGGTGGAGCAGAGACTCAGACTGTTCAAGATGGCCTGTGAGAAGCACCAGCACCTGTACCGCCTGGCGATGACCGGCTCTGGGGTCGACCGCCACCTCTTCTGTCTCTACGTGGTGTCCAAGTACCTCGCTGTCGAGTCCCCCTTCCTGAAGGAGGTAAATCGAGTCTCCCCCGACTGCTCGCGCCGGCTCCCGGGCGGAGCCAGGGCCCCTCAGACCCCGGGGCAGCTTCACGGACAGGGCCCCGTGGGCCTTCTGGACAAAAGTGGCCTCCAGAGCACAGAGAACAGTAAAATGTGCCGGAACAGTGAGAAAGTGACCCGCTCTGAGCGTTTGTCACCTTTGTTGTTGAGAGAGTGTATTTATTTAATTGTATAAACTATAATGTCTAGGAATGGCTGTGTTCAACAAACGGGCTGAAGATTTCTGAAAACAGCCCCCACTGTGATCTTTTTCAATTCTTGCCCGAGGATATGCTTATGGATTTGAGAGAGAGAAACGTAGATCAGTTGCCTCCCACACATGCCCTGACCAGGGATCAAACCTGCCACCTGGGCATGTGCCCTGACCGGGAATCGAACCCACAACCTTTTGGTGTATGGGACAACGCTCCAACCAACTGGGCCACCTGGCCAGAACACCCCCCTGGTGGATCTTAATGTATCTGCCGCCTTTTCTGCTGGAGAGGCCGTTGGCTGGTGTTGGCCCTTCCCGCCCGCTGGCCCCGCCTGCCCCATGCTGTCCCCAGACAGTCGGACGCCGAGCCGGCCTGTTCTCGTCTCCCACCGGGGCCCCTCGGGGACAGGGGGTGGGGCTGGGAAAAGTGTGGTTGGAGCACTCCCTGTCTTACTCACCAGGTCTTGTCCGAGCCTTGGAGGCTGTCCACCAGCCAGACCCCTCAGCAGCTGGTGGAGCTGTTCAATTTGGAGAAGAACCCGGAGTACGTGTCCAGTGGAGGAGGCTTTGGGCCGGTGAGTGAGCGGGCCTCTCTGGACAGAGCGGCCAGTCCCAGCGCCTGGGGCTCGTCCGCACTCAGAGCCCCATAAGGGAGTTCCTGCCGTTGTTAGTACAGGTGGGTGGGGTTTTTCCCCACAAATAGGATTTTTCTGGTCACCGTTAGAAGTCTGAGTTTTGAACAGCCTCTCGGACTAGGGGCTCCTTCCCGCTTAGCACCAGCCTCGTCCCCGCAGCTTTCCCAGACCTGCAGCCTGCACCGTGAAGCCCGCGAGGGTCCCTGTTAAACCCGGGCAGGCAGTCTACGCAGGCACCGCGGGGCAGGCCGGGTCTCCTCCCGGGTCTGCCGGCCCATTGGTGCCGTGCCGAAGCGGTGGTCCTGGTCTGCCTTGTGTTAGGAAAACCGACACAGAACAGACAGACCACATGACCCGCAGTGGTCTGGGCACCAGCGCCAGGCTCGACCATGGCCAGCGTTGCTGGCCATGGAGCACATTTTGTCCCGGGTCTGACCCACGCCATGGAAATGAGTCGGGCGGTTTGTGGCTGAACGTCCTCAGTCGTTGGCTTCGGTTTTCTCCGCCCACCTTCCCGTCCTGCGATCGGCTGGGCTCACTGGGCACCCTGGGCCCGAGGCTGCCCGGTGCGGTTTCCGTTCCCTGAGCTCTGTGACTGGTGTTTCCTGCCTGGGCGGAGCCGGTGCCCTTGAATCACCCCATCTTCCTTGGAAAACGGACCGACCACTTTCTCCCCTTCGTGCCGCCTCCCAGGAGGCGCTCGTTCTCCCCAACCCCGTGGCGGGGCTCAGAGCGCCAGGGGCCCTGGGGACGGGGCGGTAGAAGCCCCCGTGGCCCTCCTCTCATTTCCCGAGCTGAGGTTCTGACTCGACTGTGTCCTGCAGGTCGCGGACGACGGCTACGGCGTGTCCTACATTCTGGTCGGAGAAAATCTCATCAACTTCCACGTATCCTCCAAGTTCTCCTGCCCGGAGACGGTGAGACGCCAACACGCCCACCGCCCCGGAGGACGGGTGTTTTTGTCATTTCCTTTCTCGAAGACACTTTTTCATTGATCGAGTTTAGGGTGGAGAGAGAGTGAGAAACACCAGTGTCTCCTTCCACTTATTGGAAATATTCATGGACTGGCTCTTGGATGTGTCCTGACTGGGGATCAAACCCACAACCTTGGCGTATCCGGACGGCGCTCTAACCCACTGAGCCACCTGGCCAGGGCTATTGTTTTCTTTTCTCCTTTCCTTTTTTGTTCTTAAGATTTTATTTATTTATTTTTAGAGAGAGGGAAAGGGAGGTGGAAAGAGAGGGAGAGAGCCCTGGCTGGTGTAGCTGGTGTAGCTCAGTGGATTGAGCGCAGGCCTGGGAACCAAGCAACCACGGTTCGATTCCCAGTCAGGGCAACATGCCTGGGTTGCAGGCCAGTTCTCTCCCTCTCTCCTTCCTTTCCCCTCTAAAGATAAATAAATAAAATCTTAAAAAAAAAAAAAAAAGAGAGAGAGAGAGAAACACCAATGTGTGGTTGCCTCTCACACACCCCCCACTGGGGGCCTGGCCTGCAACCCAGGCATGTGCCCCGACTGGGAATCGAACTAGTGACCCTTTGATTCATAGCCCGCTCTCAACCCACTGAGCTACACCAGCCAGAACATGTTTTCTTTTTTAAGGGGAGCATATTTTTAATTTGACAAAATTTCTATTCACTTTTGTACTTGGACTTGGTTTGAATCTTTACAAGTTAACGAATTTTGAGATTCTGTTAAACTTGTTTTTAAAGAAATGATCCTACTTGGCGTAACATTCATGTTTGCTTGTAGCAGTGGTTTTGAGTCTTAGTACTGGAGAGTTTGTGCGACTTTCAGACCCTGAGACAGTGGAGGGGGAGAGGATTAGTGTGCACATGCTAACACACACACACACACATGCGCACACACACGGCAGGGCCTGCGGACGGAGCCGTGACCACCCTCCCAGCCTGGCGCCGTTAACGTGCGCCCTCTCCTTCCCACATGGTGCATCCGTCCCCGACAGGTTACACCAGGGTCACTCACAGAGGAGGCTGGAATCCATTGGCTTCCTGTGCTTTATGCGGAATTGAACGCCGTGACATCACAAAGGCTTCCCGGCCTGTTACCTGTTAGCCCTCCGCACTTCCCCAGAACACGTAACTTAGCAGTTAAGATGTGAAGTCAAGACTTAGAGGTGTGGCGAGGAAAGAAACGGTAGCTCCTTGTTTGAGCCGGATGAGAAGGGAGGAGGCTGGACACGCGGGAATGGACACGCGGGAATCGCCACGTGGTAACCGCTGCTTGTTCTTTTGTTTCCACACGGAAGGACTCCCATCGCTTCGGGAGGCACCTGAAACAAGCCATGACTGACATCATCACGCTGTTCGGGTTCGGCTTCAGCTCCAGAAAGTAGTTCCCACGCCAGCCGCCGGGCAGGAACATGAGCTCTTCTGATTACAAGCCAAATGAGAAATCGCTGTCAATCCCGATCGTAGTCCAGGGTCAAAAACTCCTCTAAAGAAACTCGGAAGTTTTCTTGCCGTCAAGGGTTTGGTGTTTTTGTTTTTTGGTTTTGGTTTTTGTTTTTTTTCCCCAGAACAGCAACCTCCACCACGTGAAGTGGTCCCCCTACTCCTTTTAGGCAGGTCCCGACCTGGGGAGCATGTGGGGAGGTGCCCCCGAAAGCCTTGGCATCGACCTGTGTGTATTGAGGGGTCAGAATGCCATGGAGCTCCTTGAGGAATTAGTGGCCTTGTGGCTTCGCAGGTGCTGGGAGTGGTCGCACCCCCGGGGGCGGCCCTGCACCGGGTACTGAGGGGCGTTGACTTTGATCCGAGTGGTGGAAGCCTGTGCTCTGTCCAGAGAGAACCCGTGTGAGTGAGTCAGAGACGGGAACGGTTCAGCGCGGACGCACGCGTGACACCCTAACCGAAACCGCCTTTGCCCCTGCAGCGCCCGTCCGCGTTGGGAGCCTGCGATGTGTGTGTCTTTAGTTTTCCAGACCTTGCGAGTGGCCCAAAGCCAGTGCCTTAAATACGGGAGGCCCCAAATGTGAGGGAGACCAGACGAGGGGTTTATTTTGTAAATAAACAAATGCAATCACAGGTGTCCCACTCCTCAGCTCACTGAGTGGATCGCCCTAAGGAGGCATTTTCTGTGGCTCCCCCTGGGGGCCACTGTGTGGGTTCCCCCATCACACTGCCTCCCTTTCGACAGTTGGCCTGCGTCAGACACGCGGAGCATTGCCTAGGATGCCCAGGTGTTATATGTCTAGCGCAGTAACATATAACATTCCTGCCCAATAACATATAGCGTATGCCTCAGCAGTACTGCTTACCCAAACTGGTGGCAAGCTGACCATGACCTTTGCCCCTGAGAAAGGAACAAAACTTGAGGAAAGAGAAGAGGAACCTCCAAATAAGTGGTCAGGACAGGGCAGCGCCCATGCGCCAGGCAGAGAGCTTTCTAAGCGCAGATGGCAAGGGAGACGAGCCCCTCTGTCTCCAAAGGAGGTGGGGGAACCGTGCACTGGGTCATCTTGGTGGCCAGCTAAAATGTCACAGGCAGCGAGTGCTGGGTTGAACACCACCTACCCTTTAGACAGGAGTGCCTTATCTAAAGAGGGGGAGTGGCCAAAAAAGCAACTGTGCACTGAATCGACTTCAGTATTTACCGTAAAAAGAAAGGATCCTGGAATGAATAACCCACTGCCTCCGGGCAGTCCTGACCAGCTTGGCTGTCCCTTAAAGCAACTGGGTATTTATTTTTCTGACCACTTTGCCCTGGCTGGGCTTGCCTCCGGAGAGCCCTGCACCTGGGGGACGCAGGGCGGAGCTGCACTGCCTGCCAGGAGGAGCGGGGGGCCAGCCCGGAGCACGCCGGGTTTATTCATGTCTGTGTCGTAATGTAAAAACCCTGCCTGGTGGGCCAAAGATATTTTTCTCTTAAAAGCAAGAAAGGAGAACGGGGAAAAAAATTCCACAGTGTGAAAGCCCCCTGCTCGTCTGTGGTACATAGTCTGGGAGGGACGGAGGCTGCAGCCCCTCTGCCTCGGCCAGCGGGGCTTCCAGTTCCAGAGCCCGTCAGCCCCTCAGAGCCCCCGGAATCATGCATCACTGACCACTGACCAGTCTGCATTACCCAGCGTCCAAATGTCCATGTGTTAGCACTCAAATGTATTTGGGCTTACCTCTCAGGTTTTAAATATTTTTGCAAATCAGTGCCGTTGTCAATGCAATTTTTATATTCCTTAAAGGACAGAAGAGTGGATTTTTTACTGTACTTTACTGTACATGTGGAAAGGAAGAGGTAAGAGTATTATGTGTTTAATTTAATTTGGAACAAACCACGGTCCCACCAAGCCGAGGTTTGAATTTGTTATCTTGGACCGTGCATAGCATGTAAATACAGTCTGCTCTTTCGGATGTAAATCTTAGAAACGCAGCATGAATATTGCCATTGATAAAAACATTAATCCCAATCTACCACGGCTTTTGTCTCTGCCTCTTTTGTTCTGTTAATAAGGAGGTTATGAGTCAGGTACCAAGCTCGGGCCCCTGGGACCAAGGTAAGAAGCCAAGGTAACACAGAAAAGGCCTGGGGCTGGGCGGACTGCCTGTGCTAGGCGGGGCTGTGGACTCGCTCTGCCCGCACTCCTCCTCCCACTCCCTGTCCTGTGCCTGGAGCCCGATGCGGAGCAGCTGCTCAGTGGCCATCTGCCCAGTGGATACACGAATTCCATTTTCTCAGCAGTTCTTACTGAGCGCTGACTGCGAGGGGCACTGTTCTAGGCGCTGGGAAGGCAGCAGGGACCCCCGCCCCCCCACTGGGGTTCTGACTAGGTGGGGATCTCATTCCAGTGGGAGGAGGTAGAGAACCGGTCAAAGGATTGTAAATGCCCAAGGCAGATGGGGCATCACGTTGTGGGGGGTCAGGCAGGAGGGCAGAGTGGCAGGCCCAGGAAGGGGGCTGATTTGGAAACAGACTAGAAGACCAACCAGGGGTAGCACGTGACCAGCTTGGTGTCCAGGTGGCCGTGCATTCTGCACATGATGCCTGACACCTGGGAGCTTGCTTGGTAAAGATGTCTGATGTGTGAGTGAATGAACAGGGATGATGGGCTTGCTCAGGCTGTTCACGCCACTCACATTTTTATGTGGGCTCTTGGGTTTGCATTAGTGGCCTTTTGGGTCCCTGTAGTTTGGGGAGCCCAAGCTGCACTCTGCCCTGCCCTTGAACTCACCTGAGTTCAATGTGATGTGATTATTCCAGCCATAACATCAGGGTAAAGCCATCCTCACACATAGGTACGCAAGTCCCCAGGAAAAGGGCTGAAAAGATTTAATTCTCAGCGACTCTGCCTGGCAAGGCAGCGGACAGTGTGCGGTTCAAGGGAACGTCAGCTTTATCTGGTATTTCAATACTCCAGCAGGAGGGCTTATGTTTTTATAATTTAAAAAAGAGCTCCCCTGGTTCTAACTCTAACCCTAACCCTTCTGTGGAGTGCTGCCCTCAGAGTGCAGGCGCGGGAAGGGGGTTCTCTGAGCCACGGACCTCGTTTCCGGGCCTGTGTGTCTGGGACGCGCTGGCCACCAGGAATAGGCTTTAGGTCACTCACGTGGCAGGAAAACTCCAACAGCGATATGTGTGACATTTCTTCGGAGCTCCACGTGAACGTCCCAGGCCAGGTTCGCAGATAGGCCCCAGCACACCTCAGGTTCTCCCTTCGCTTTGGGAATGCTCAGCCGCCTGCAATTTTCTTGGGATTTCTTGGTGCTGACGTGTACCGCTGCATAGCAGCGGACAGTGCTGCCATCTTGGCTGTTTGAAAAGTTAAAAAAAATGAAATTGGGAAGCTGATGTTTCACATTTTAATTTTTACCCAGTCAATACCAGTACATGAAACAGTACCCAGGGGTCGTGTCGAATCTGTCCTTACCCCTGGCTCTGTGAGCCCATCCCCAGAATACCTGTCAATGCCGCTGGGTGGGCTTGGCAGGCCAGGCCACTGCCCTACACAAGCTTGTGCTCCCTGCAGTGCTGACTTCTTCGGTGAAGGGTGGATTTAGCTCGCTCCCCACCCAAAGAATGCATCGCCTTAGTGTGAGTTTTGTAGGTCTTGTCAGACTCCACCTCCCGACACCAGTCGTCCACATTGGGTTGTTCAAACTGTCTGGGGACAGTGCCCAGTTTTCAGTCACTCGTCCCAAGCGCCAGCACCAAGGATGTGAGGTGTGTTGGGAAGATGCAGGTGCAAAGCCCTGGGCCTCTGTCCACTGGCAGAGCTCCTGCACCAGTTCTGCTGAGTGTGGGGGCAGAAAAGATGTATTTGAAAGACTAAGGTCGGGGGGACTTCCGCCAAGATGGAGGCATAGGTGGAGACACGGTGCCTTCTCACACAACCAAGTTTAGAGACAACTAAATATTTGCGACAGAAAACACAGCCAGAACACAGAAAATTGAACTTTTCAGAAGTCTGTTAACAACAAATTCTTCAGCCTGACCGGTAAGGGGCGAAACCAGCAGCTGGTGAAGCGGGGTTGCACAGGAGGACTCGGGTCAGACGAACTCAGGCGCGGAATCCAGACGCTCGGAATCCAGGCGCAGGGTTGGACCTAGTGAGCGACCGAGCAAGCGACCGAGCGAGCCACCGTGGGGAAGTAGCGAGGGAGCAGGGCTGCGGGTTGACTGTGGTCGCGCATTTGTGCGCGGGCGGACAGGCGAGGGAGTGGGCGGTTGGACCGGGACTCAGCGGGTCCCAGCGGCAAGCTGCGGGCGCCACCATTTCCCGGCTCTGACCCCGCCCCCACATACAGCGTCACAACCCAGCGACCTGGGAGTCCAAGCCTCCGCTCCTCTCACTTAAAGGGCACGAACAGACCAAAAATGGCTCAAGAAGATCTCAAAGCCCCAGAGCCTATAAATCTAAGCGATGAAGAAATAGCAAAACTCTCAGATGCACAGTTTAAAACACTGGTGATCAGGATCCTCACAGAACTGGTTGATTATAGCCACAAATTAGACAAACATATGAAGGCAAAACTAATAGAAATGAATGGAATTGCACAGGAAACCAATAGCGATGAAAAGGAAACTGGGACTCAAATCAATGGAGTGGACCAGAAGAAAGCAAATAATGGCCAAACAGAAAAGAGTCAAAAAGCAAGAATTCAAAAAAATGAGGAGAGTCTTAGGAACCTCCAGGACATCTTTAAATGCTCCAACATCCGAATTATAGGGGTACCAGAAGGGGGAAAGGAACAGCCACCAGTGGAAAACTTATTTGAACAAATAATAAAGGAGAATTTCCCCAATCTGGCAAAGGAAATAGACTTCCAGGAAATCCAGGAAGCTCAGAGAGTCCCAAAGAAGTTGGACCCAAGAAGAAACACACCAAGGCACATCATCATTACATTAGCCAAGATTAAAATGAAGGAGAGAATCCTAGAAGTAGCAAGAGATAAGGGGACAGTCACCTACAAAGGAGTTCCCATCAGACTGTCAGCTGATTTCTCAAAAGAGACCTTACAGGCAAGAAGGGGCTGGAAAGAAATATTCCAAGTCATGAAATCCAAAGACCTACAACCAAGATTGCTCTATCCAGCAGAGCTTTCATTTAGAATGGAAGGACAGATAAAGTGCTTCTCAGATAAGATAAAATTCAAGGAGTTCATCATCACCAAGCCCTTATTATATGAAATGTTAAAGGGACTTACCTAAGAAAAAGAAGATAAAAAATATGAACAGTGAAAAGACAGCAAACTCACAGTTATTAAGAACCACACCTAAAACAAAAGCAAAATAAAGGACAGCTAGATCAGGAGCAGAACCATAGAAATGAAGATCACATGGAGGGTTAGCAACAGGGGAGTGGGAGGAGGAGAAGGGGGGAGAAGGTACAGAAAATAAGTAGCATAGACAGTAGATAGAAAATAGATGGGGGGGCAAGAATAGTATGGGAAATATAGAATCTAAAGAACTTGAGACACATGGTCATAAACTAAAGGGGGGGTAATGGGGACGGGGAGGTAGGGTGGAGGGGAATGAAGGGGGGGAATAGAACAACCGTAATGGCATAGTCAATAAAAATAAATAAATTTTGGACTTCCGCCAAGATGGAGGCATAGGTGGATGTGCCGTGCCTTCTCACACAACCAAGATTAGAGAAAACTGAATATTAGCAACAGAAAACACAGCCAGAACACGGAAAATTGAACTTTTTGGAAGTCCATTAACAACAAATTCTTCAGCCTGACCGGTAAGGGGCGAAACCAGTGGCTGGCGGAGCAGGGTTGCACAGGAGGACTCGGCCAGACACACTCAGGCCGGTGGAATCCAGGCGCAGGGTCAGACCTAGTGAGCGACCCAGCGAGCAACCAGGCGAGCGACCGCGGGGGAGACAGCTGGGCCCGGGGCTGCGTGTTGACTGAGGTCGCGCATTTGTGCGAGGGTGGACAGGCGAGGGAGTGGGCGGTTGGACCGGGCCAGCAGGTCCCCACGGCAAGCGGCAGTGGAGGGCGCTGCCATTTCCCTGCTCTGACCCCACCTCCACATACAGCGTCATAACCCAGCGACTCTGAGTGGCCCGGCCCAGGTGAACCACCTAAGGCACTGCTCCTCCGCACCCAGCTGTGAGAAGCGGCAGAGGGGGTCGCCATTTCCCCGCTCTGGCCACGCCCCCACATACTGCGTCACAACCCAGCGACCTGGGAATCCAAAGCACCGCTTCTCACACTTAAAGGGCCCGAATAGACCAAGAATGGCGCAGGAGGATCTCAAAGCCCCAGAGCCAATAAATCTAAGCGATGAAGAAATAGCAAAACTCACAGACGCACAGTTTAAAACATTGGTGATCAGGATCCTCACAGAACTGGTTGATTATACCGACAAATTAGACAAATATATGAAGGCGAAACTAATTGAAATGAATGGAATTGCACAGGACACCAATAGCAATGAAAAGGAAACTGGGACTCAAATCAATGGAGTGGACCAGAAGAAAGCAAATAATGGCCAAACAGAAAAGAGTCAAGAAGCAAGAATTCAAAGAAATGAGGAGAGTCTTAGGAACCTCCAGGACATCTTTAAACGCTCCAACATCCGAATTATAGGGGTACCAGAAGGGGAAAAGGCACAGCCACCAGTGGAAAACTTATTTGAACAAATAATAAAGGAGAATTTCCCCAATCTGGCAAAGGAAATAGACTTCCAGGAAATCCAGGAAGCTCAGAGAGTCCCAAAGAAGTTGGACCCAAGAAGGAACACACCAAGGCACATCGTAATTACATTAGCCAAGATTAAAATGAAAGAGAGAATCCTAGAAGCAGCAAGAGCTAAGGGGACAGTCACCTACAAAGGAGTCCCCATCAGACTGTCAGCGGATTTCTCAAAAGAGACCTTACAGGCAAGAAGGGGCTGGAAAGAGGTATTCCAAGTCATGAAATCTAAAGACCTACAACCAAGATTGCTCTATCCAGCAAAACTTTCATTTAAAATGGAAAGACAGATAAGGTGCTTCTCAGATAAGATCAAATTCAAGGAGTTCATCATCACCAAGACTTTATTATATGAAATGTTAAAGGGACTTATCTAAGAAAAAGAAGTTAAAGAAACATGAACAGTGAAAGGACAACAAACTCACAGTTATTAACAACCACACCTAAAACGAAAGCAAACTAAAAGGACAGCTAGATCAGGAGTGGAAACATAGAAATGAAGATCTCAAGGAGGGTTAGCAACAGGGGAGTGGGAGGAGGAGAAGGGGGGAGAAGGTACAGAAAATAAGTAGCATAGACAGTAGATAGAAAATAGATGGGGGGGGGCAAGAATAGCATGGGAAATATAGAATCTAAAGGACTTGAGACACATGGTCATAAACTAAAGGGGGGGGGATGGTGGGGATGGGGGGTAGGGTGGAGGGGAATAAAGGGGGAATAGAACAACTGTAACAGCATAATCAATAAAAAAAATTTTAAAAAAGAAAAAAAAATAAATAAATTTTAAAAAAAAGAAGTCAAGCTACGGAGACCCACCAGTGATGCGTCAGAAGGGCCTGAGGGCCTCAGTGTCCCCACCTGAGCCTGGAGCTGCTGAGCCCGAGAGTGCCCTTCCCTGCCCACCTCCACACGACAGCCGGTCGCTGGTCCCCGTTTGCTCTCCGAGCGCCCAGTCTCTACCAGATGGGTCCCTGATTCTCAGTCCCTAGCCTGAGACCTCACCTGACTCCCCGCTCTGCTCACTCCCATCCACCTGCCCGCCCCGCCCCCCCCAGCGCGGGCCACGCCTATCCACCGCTCCAAGCCCCGCCCACCATCTCGTGCTGCCCCGGTCACGCCCACTTTCATCCCTAACTCCGCCCCCTTTCCCAACCGTCAACGGCCACACTCGCGCACCCGCAACCCGAGGCTGTCGGTGCGTCCCTCTGAGGAGGCCTGTCTCAGGGACCCTCCAGACCGGAGACCGCGGCCGCCGTCGGGTGTCCCCAGGGCCCGGGCCGGCCTCTGGTCTGCAGGTGGGGAGGGGGACGGAGGGCCCCCGGGCAACACCCCACCCCCAGGGGCGGCGGGCCCCTCCCCCATCAGTCAGTGGGCCGCGGGGCGGGGGGCGGCACCCGCCTCACCCGGCGCGTCGTCGCAGGTGCACGGCCCCGCGGCCCGTCCGCAGACATGGAAGAGGGTGCGCTGCTGGGCGGAATGTCCAGCCCCGAAGAGGCCATGGTGCCAGACCTGTTCAGTGCAGACGGCGGGTTTGCTCCTGAAAACCTGCCCCTGAAGGCCGCGGCGGTGGCGAGGGCCGAGGGAGAGGAGTTCCGCGTGCTCAAAGACCCGTACCTGAGCGCCGCGGACCCCAAAGGGCCCCTGCTGCACGCGTTCAACCCCCCGCTGAGCGTGGACTGCAAGACCAAGGCCGAAGCCCAGCTCCTGGTGGAGGAAAACGAGGAGGAGATGCTTGGGGAGTTCCCGAGGCTCCCCGGGCTCGACCCCCTGGAGGACGCGGTCCTGCCCGCAGCCCCGCCCCCGCAGGCCTACAACGTGCACTTCCTGTCCCCGGTGCGGACGGCGCAGCAGCACGGGAGCCCCGCCGTCGTGCCCCTGGGCGCCTGGGCGCGGGAAGGAGCCGCCCACGCCGGTGTCCGGGTGATTCCAGTAAGATCCGCGTGGGAAACACGCACAGAACCCCCTGGAGCCCGCCTGAGTAGGGACGCGAGGCTGCGGTGGCGGGACGGCAGATTTCCCGTGGCAGTGGCAGCCCTGGTTGGAGTCCCTCATTCCAAACAGGGGCGCCCCTTTGTGGTCTGAGATGCACCAGCCAAGCCATTCTCTCTGAAGGGGGATCCTGGCCTGAGTCCCTGATTCAAACCCTGCCTAACCCTGCAGAGGGCTCGCAACCCCAGGGAAAGGACCTGCAGGAGTGTTGACCTGGCGGTGGCTGTCCCTGGCTTCAGGAAGGAGCCCTGTTTGTCAGTCACTAGTGTCCGTGACAACAGATGCAGTGTTGTGAAGGTCTCGTGTTCTCGCATTTTCCCTTCTTTGCATTTGTAATGCTTTGTTCTTCGGGCATGTGCAACATAAGCCAGTAACTCCTGCGAGTTCTCAGCCCTGCCCTCCTGGGCTGCAGAAAACCATGGGTGGTTTCTGCTCTGTACCCACTGAGACTAAGCAGAGGATCGCAGGGATGTGGATGCTGGTCCCCCAAAGCATCTAGTTTGGGGAGCTCGACTACTCAGCCATAGAACCGCTTCAGTGCTGTAGCGGTTCTAAGCCCGCGCAGCACGTCTGATGAACTGTGGAGGCAGCCAGGGCCTGACTGCGTTGGAACCGCAGCAGGGTTCTGCCCCTGCCCAGCCCCCAGTTTTCTATCAGCCCCACCGCTATTCCTTGGCCGGAAGCTGGCCTGGGGCCCTGCCATCCCCCCACCTGCCTGAGGGGAGCCATAGCTCAGGTAGTCCCCTCGCCCTGCCTCCACCCGCAGCCACTGTCCTCCATGGTGGAGCGTGAGGCCAAACGTGCCCAGCACCTTCCGCCTGTTGGTGCCAGCCTGGCTCCCGCAAAAACACCATCTTTTCTGAAGGACTCACCTGTCCCCCCTCACAGGCAGCTGGGCTGGAGAGGTTGGGGTGGGGGCCCCGCAGTAAGAGTTGGCTGCTGCTTTCAGTCCTCCTTGCGTTCTTATCGAATTTGACAGTGATGCCAATATTAAAACCCTCAGTGCCGATGGTGATTGTTTTTAACAGAGACCCTTTAGTTCTTAAAATTGCACCGACGTGCAGTAATACCACGGCATTGCTCCCCGCTCTCGGGCGTCCTGCTGGCGTGACAGGTGTGCGGGAGCAGAGCTGGGAAACCAGGCTGGCGGTCACGCCCACCCTCACTGTTTCACATGGACAATGACCGCGTGGTCCCGGAAAAGCGCCGCTGTGTGATTACTACTGTTGCTCGCAACGCGTTAGACCTTACATTACAAGGTTTGCTGAAACAGCAGCAGGGGTTGCGGCTTCTCCGGGAAAGAACAACGAGCCAGAACATTCCACACAGCCCGGGGCACCGGCTCTGAGGACGGGGACTGGGGGTCGGCGTTTCGGGAAGGCCCCACTTGGCTGCCAGCTCTCGTCATAGGGTGGGGGCTGCGGGGCGGCTTGAGGGGCACCCGATGACCGGGGCATCTCGGTTACTTCCACCCAGTGCCACCTGGAGACTGCATCCCATGCCTGTGGGCAGATGATTTGGGTCCTGGCGTCCTCGGTCCCCAGTGAGACTGGCAGGGTGACTTGTTACCCTGCAGGGAGAAAAGCGAGAGGGAGGGAGGCGGGAAGAAGGGTAAGGATGCTCTGCTCCAACAATGTGACCTTCCACTGAGAGTTTTGCTTTCTGCACCTGCTGAACGCAGCCTCCACAGTGGGAGTCCTAAAGTAGCACCGCTTTTTCAGGTGGAAGTAAAGGAAGGAGGGGGTGCAGGTGAGATTCCGGAGGAGGCCGCGCTGCGGAACCCCCTTTCTCAGGAAGCCTGCGTGTTCCGGTCGTCGCAGGAAGCGGATGGCACCTCTGGAATGTCTCACCAGGACACCAGCCCCATGGTAATGAGGTCGAAGAAAGCGTGGCTCTTCGTGCAACCCGTGCGGCCCCTTGCACACGGGCCGGCGACCACCAGTGTTGGTGGTCACTGCTTTTCGTTCCGCTGAACCATTGCATCAGCATTTGGGCTGGTCTTGTCCACCCAGAGGGACAGGGGCAGCGCCTTCCCAAGGTCCCTTTCGCCTCCAAGAGTCTCACCTCTGCCTGGTCTTAGCAAGTGAGCGCAGATGAGGACGGGGCTGTATTTTTAAGGACGGCAACCACAAGTCCCATCCGTCAATGCGGACCCAGGCTGGCTGGGGGACCGGTGCCCACTCAGCAGCCGGGTTGGTGTGTGGGTGGGAGGATGGGTGGGGCACAGGCGCTTCCCTCCCTCCCTGCACCCAAGTCCCCAACAATGCGGCTAAGGGACGGGCCAGTGGCGACCTCTGTGGTTTGTGTGCAGTTTCCCTTTAACCCTCTTGTCGGGTCTGTAGGCGTTACTTTCCTCTCCATTTACAGATGGGAAAACAGAGGTGTCGCGCTGCCAGCTTGTACTGGGGCCTCTGGGCCTGCAGGACTAGCTGGTGAGGATGGGCAGGGAGGGGGGGCCAGGGGGCCCAACACCCAGGATGGACTGCGGCCTCCAGCAGCTCCTCACCCTGAGAAAGACGCCGTAGCCCTGAGGTGCCTGCCTCACCAGGAGACGCTCGGGGAAGAGCTCCTCTGAACTCAGCCTCGCTGCGGCGCCCTCCGGCACTCTCCTCTCCGCCTGGGGTCTGGTCAGGCCCCGGGGGCCAGCTGAGCAGGATGCGCTCTCCTCCAATGACAGTGGGGGGGGGGCAGGGCAGAGCCCCAACTGTGCGTGGGCGGGGTCCACCTCAGAGTCCACCCTGAGCCTGTCTCCCAGTGTCGTGTGCTTGTGGGCGTGAGAGTGTGCATGGCTGAAACTCAACTCCCTAGAGAGGAATGAAATTGCAGGGCACAGGTCTGCTGCTGGCGAGCGAGTGGCACCTCGCAAACTCAGGCTCTGCACACGTTGCTTCCACTTCCGTAGCATCGGTCCTCGACGCTCCCTGGGGTTTTCCTGCCCAGGGAACCCCAAGGCAGATCCAGGGCCCCTGGGGCATGTGCGGCTCTGCCGTCAGGCTGGGCGCCATGTGGGGGCAGAAGCCACTGCCCTCTGGCCTCGGGGACAGGACCTCGAACAGGGAGGGCTCCAGCTGGCCTTTGCCTGACTGGAGTGACCGGCACACAGGCTGGCTTGGCTCATGGAGGACACAGTTACAGGCAAACCCGAGCAGGCAGTCTGGGTGCTGGTCAGGCCCAGGAATCTAGATGGAGCTTCTTAGAACTTTCCTGTCCTTGCATGAACCTTTCCAGTTGCTCTCGTAGAAAATAAAATTAATACACATTTTAAAATCTCATGTATTAAATAATAGCACATGCATGTGGCAGGAAAGAACAATTGTCAGGAAATTAGAAAGCTCTGGGTGTGCGGCGGCCGCTGCAGAGATGGCGCCCGGGCGGAGGCCTTCGGTGAAACCAACTGGAGCTGAGTGGGGCGCTCTCGGTGTGCCCTCTGCTCCCATAGACCATGGACAGTAAGGGGCACTGTCCCCTGACCCGTGCCCACCCCACAGGTCAGGCGCCTGCGGAGAAGGGCGGGGCGGGAACTTCCGTCTGCCCACCCACGCGCCTCCAGGAACATCCCCCACCCCAGCAGGTTGCTGTGGAGTGAGATGTGGAGAACAGGTCTGCTGCTTGCATTTCCCATGAAAAGTTAGGTTCTGGCTTAAAGCTGCGTTCTCAGATTGTGGCGTGTGTAGGTTCACGTGACCAGCTAGCTTTTCAAACGGTGCCCACCCACCGCTTTCCGTTCCAGGTGCTGTGCCAGATGAGGGGGGGCACGCCGAGGCTGCGCATAGACGGCCCCGGGGCGGCGGGGCTGCAGGCTCTTCACTGGGCTCCGCGAGGCCGGGACCAGAGTGGTTCCCCACAGTCAGGTACGGAGCCCGATACAAACGTGCCCTCTGTAGGTTGGTAAGTGAACACGCTTTAGCTTTGCACATAAAATAAAAGTGAAATGGGTAGTTAGGATACTAAGTCATGTTCCACAGTAGTGAGCTAAGAACAGAACAATGTCTTCATGGGCTGGTTTAGGTGCATTGCATCGACTGTCTCAAGTTCTGGGACAGCCGTCCTCTGCAGCCGCTCGCTGAGGGGGCTCCTGGCCTAACAGGTGACGATTCTCGCTGACAAGTGTCTGTGCCCCATCGTCCTGGGCTGAAGCGGCCGCCTTTCCCAGGTCGGGTGGGAGGCTGACTGCTCAGGTGTGTTGTACACTAACATTTAATGTAAACATTTTTGTACAATCACCTCCAGCCGAAATAAGTGTAGCAAATGCTGATTGTGGGACATTCACTCAGAAACGTCTTCAAACCGGCACAATGGTAACAAATGACACATAAGTGCTTCGTTATCCCGAAATGCCTTGTGAGTGATTAAAGGTTGTATTTACAGAAGTTGGACGTGAAATCTTTTTTTTTTTTAAGATTTTATTTATTTATCTTTAGAGGGGAAGGGAAGGAGAGAGGGAGAGAAACATCAATGTATGGTTGCCTTTCGTGCGTCCCCTGCTGGGAACTGGCCTGCAGGGAACCTGCCTGCAACCCTGGTATGTGCCCTGACTGGGAATCGAACCGCGATTGTCTGGTTCGCAGGCCCGTGCTCAATCCACTGAGCTACACCAGCCAGGGCTTGGACGTGAAATCTTTAAAACCAGGCATTTCTATGTGGACAGTAATGTAATTGTGTCATTCTAAATATTGGGTTAACCAGGATGATTTTCTTATTAGATGCCAAGGAAATTTCCTTATCAGATGATCCCATGACCTGCCAAAAAATTTATATCAGCATTAAACCCAAATGTCATATCAAGGGACCTTTGGAGCCCGGTGTGGCCCCTTTATCCAGGGACAGCGAGATGCCTCCCAGGCACCGCCTTTCCCCACCTCGCAGGAGCAGGGCGGGGCCTGGCTCCACCCAGGCGGGAGCCGCCCCTCCTCCACACAGGCAGACAGGCGCTCCTTCCTCACGCCCCTCCTTCTGGCTCCCAGCAGCTCCCGAAGCCCATAGATGGGCAGAAGGAGAGGGTTTGCGTGATGCTCACCACACCTGTTTCCTTGTCATCTGATCACAACCCGCCTGCCCAGTCCCCTGCTCTGCGCTGTGAACATCACCCTAAAGTAACCGCATCCTGACCCGAGTCTCAAGGCAGCAGCACTCGGGCTGCACCAGCCCCGGCTGCACCTGCGGTAGCTGAGGAGACCAAGGCCGGCTCTCCCTCCACCGGGCCCCCCGGACACCGAGGTTCACAGGCCCTCGTGTCTCAGGGGTGTTCTTCACTGTGCCCTCAGGCCAGAGGAATACCTGTCAGTTCTAGTCCTTAAAAAGTTTGGCCCAAATAGCCTAATAAATATTTGCATCCTGACACCACAGGGCTGGAAAAAGAATACATATAAATTGGAAGTAGTTCACCTGGTGTCCAACAGATGTCGCTGTGTTTTTTTTTTGAGAAGAAAAGCTCTGAGCTTCTGGGGGCATTTACTGGGCAGGCGTAGTGGGGCCCCCACCAGCACCAGGGGGACTGGGCACAGCTTGGACCCCCATGCTCACGCTCAGTCACTATGGCAAAGAAAAAGGGTGTAAGAGGTAAAAAAAATCATTGACCTGGAAGCTTTTTATGGAATAAAGACATCAATAGGATGAAAATAAGTTTCAAGGACTGCACATGATCCTTGTGACTCATTCTCGGTTCTGTGCTCCCTCCGTGTGCAAGCAGAGGAAAAACAGTACGTGGCTTCCGTCGGCTTTCACTGTCCTGCAGATGCCCCCAGACCAGTGACCGCCTTAGTGGGACGCCTTTTGCCCGTGCCAGCAAAACTAAACCTCATCACACAACAAGTGAGTCGTCATTTTAATTTTTAAACATACAGTCGGCATTATCGTCTCTTGAAATGTCAATTGTAAAGCTGGCATTTCTCAGGCAATATCATCTGTCCTCCATTTAAAGACCAACAGGGAATCGCTGACCAGGCGGCCAGCCTCTCCCGGCTGCGCCAGACCCAGGGAGGGGCGGACTGAGTCCAGGGCATGGCTCTCTGCCACCTCTGGGACACTGTCTCGTCCCCCCTCCGCCTCCAGGTAGCTGTTCTGCCCCTGGGGTCCTGCCTCCAGCACCCCCTGTGTTATGGAAATGCTCGAGGTTTAACATGCGTTTAGGACCACCCTGTGCTGTGCGTAGAGCAGATGCAGCTGTAAGACAGACGTGCTCTTCTCCCTGAGTCCGGCCGTGAGACGTTGCCGCTGGACTCCCTGCCCAGGCAGCCGGCCACTGTCGCCATTCTGTGTTTTCTGGGCGTGTGTGCGTTTGTGCACGTCCCTGGGGAGTGTGAGCACTGCGGGGGGTCTCATGAGTGTGTGTGTGTGAGCGGCACACACAGGGCATCACCCCTCCCACCGGCAGGTGCAGGGCTGAGCACTGAGGTTGCCTCAGCCAGCGAACAGGAAGTGAACCCCCAAAACAAAATGAAATGACTCTGCCCTCCTGCGGGAGCAATTGCGCGCTGGGACCGTGGAGGGTGGGCGTCAGGGATGGGGTTGGTAGGAGGAAGGTGGGCTACAAGTTTGCACAGGGCGTGCTGTGGGCTCCATCCAGAAGGGGGCACTGAGGCCCCCTTGATCACAGGCTTGAGGGGGGCCTGAGCCCTGTGGGTTCCAAGAGCAGGAAGACTCCAGAAGGCAAGGACCAGCGCAGCACAGGGTCACACCTGCTGTGGAGACAGACAGGAGGAGTCTCTGGCCGGGGTGCAGCGAGCAGGAGGTGGGAGGGCCGTGCCTCCCACGGGGCTGGCACAGAGGAGGGCTGGGGGGCGGAGGTGGGGACCAGCCGTCATCTGATCTCAGTGATCTCAGGGAGGAGGACAGTGGATCAGCCCACGGTGGCAGTGCCGTGGGACCCGTGTCCTGGATGGGCTGGGTGTGGGATGGGAGATGGAGGAGTCAGGATGCTGGTTTTCAGCCTGAACTGGTGTATGGCGTCCCATGTGCAATACCAAATTTGGGGCGTCCCTTAGACACCCGAAGTGACGCCACTGCCTAGGAGTCGGGGGTTCAGCATGGAGGAGAAGGTCAGTGCACAGGAAGTACACAGGTGGGGCTTAAAGCCGTGAGACTAGAGATCACTGTGGCCTCGGGTGTGCACAGAGTCACATGTCAGTGAATAAATAGTTCTCAAGTGCGACAGCAGCCAGGAGGGGAGGCTGCTCCGGGTTGAAGAGACGCAGGAGACCCAGCGGTGTCGGACCCTGTGCGCACCCGACAAGGGGTCCGTTGTGAGCCTCTCTCCAGCCCGGGCCGCCCTGCACCTCGCCTTCCCTTCCCTTCCCCACTGTTGCCGCGCAGTAGGGCGGCACCGGCTGCTGCTCCTCCCCCCACCCCAGCCGCCTCTCCCCCTTGCGTTGCCTTTGTTACTCTTGTCCCCACTTTGGCTCCCCTAACTTCTTTTAAATTACCTTTTCATCCCCAACCAAGGACATGCTTATTGACTTTAGAGAGAGGGGAAGGGAGGGAGGGAGGGAGGGAGGGAAGGAGGGAGGAACACCGATGTGAGAGAGAAACACTGATCAGTTGTTTCACGAAGGCTCCCAGACCTACGACCTTTGGGTTTACGGCTGATGCCCCATCCGACTGAGCTATGCTGGCAGGGGCTCTTGGGGCAACAATTTGAGCAATGCCCTTGCTGCTTCCCCGCCACACCCCCGGCTCTGTGCGCTCCGCCACGGGACCGCAGTCTGGGGGAGCCACTCAGAAACGGGCTCTCAGCCGCCCTGGATGCAGACCCGCCTCCTCCTCGCAGGCGGTGGGGGTGGGAGAGGGGGGACTTGCTTTCTCTGCTCCTGGGGGCCAAGCACCACTGAAGGGGCGTGGACTCTGGCAAAGCGTCGCCCTCAGCTCACTGGCTACCTGGCCCTTAGAAGAAGCATTTCCTTTTCTCTGCTTTACTCTGAGGCTGAATAAGCAGAGGGGGGAGGAAACTGTATGTGGTTTATGCGAAGAATCACCTCGACCCTGGAACTGCCAGACCCTCCCTGCAGAAGCACCGAGCTCTGTGGGCCCACATGGGGACAGACACCTGGGCCCACAGGTGTCTGTAGGCTGTGAGGGGGGCGCCAGGGGCACAGTGACTTGCAAATGCCCCACCCCCTGCGGATGAAGGACAGCAGCCACTCTCGGCCAGGAGAGGGGGACCCTGGGGCTGAGGTCCCCAGCCACTCGGGGTCTGTATGAAAGGAGTTAGACCAGGGTGGCTCCTCCACGTCCTCGAGCCCCACCTGGCCACGGCCACACGCTGTTGAAAAGAGGCAGGAGAGGAAACCCAGGAGGACTGGTAAAGTGGTGTTTTCCCAAACCACGCCTCTTAAACAAAGCTCGCTTTTCAATTTCAAGATTTGGGGGAGGAGGGGTCAAAGGGACAGGACAGAACCTGAGCTGTGACGTGGGTGGAGTCGCAGAACCACCATGTTCCCGACGCCTTCAAACTGCAAGAAGAAACTGGGACCGCAGCGGCTTTACCGGCCCTTCCCCCCCTGCTTTCCCGTGACTCTCGGCTGCGGGCCGTGCGCTGAGTGACATACGGACAAAGAACCAAGACGACAAGGGACGTGGATAAAGCAGAGACTGTAACGTGGCTTTGAATTTGTTAAAATGGACTGCAGTTGGTTTTGACTAGATGACAAAGTCGTGGTCCCTAATGAGACGTCGAAGCTCAAGATCACTTATGTCCTATGAAGGATATAGCAGTGATGGCCAGTTTTAGTTCACAGAAATTTGTAACTGGACTTATTTTGCAAAGTGAGGAAGAGGTCCAATACAGTGCCCTGGGCGGCCACCTGACAGCCAGTCGGTGACCGGGTCCTGCACCTGCCACCCCCCCTTCCGCCCCACAGCCAGGCCCGCTGGCCCTGCACCCTCCCCGGGCTCCTGGGGCCGCTCTCCCCACAGCGGCCGCCGGCCCTCCTCACGGCCTGCGCTGGGGCTGCTGGGGGCCGGTCATGCCATCCAGGGGCAAGTCCCGGGCCAGGCTGTAAAGGGGACTGTGACGGAAGCTCCGGAGGAAAGAGGACTTTTCTCTGCATGGCAGGGCTGACTGGGTGGGACTTTTGAAACATACTGCCAACTCAGAATACGCGTGCCTTTGCTCCGCAGCTCGGCGAGGGAGCCGCGGCGTCCACGGTCAGTGGGTCTGCCTTTCCGGTGGGGCCAGCCCTGGCGGCGCCGCCCAAAACAGCTGTGGCCGGGTAAGGATGGCAGCGGTCAGCTCTCGCTTTTGGGCTTTGGGAGGCCCTCTCGGGTACATTTGTCACCTCCTAAGTTATAAAATCAGCTGCGTGCCCCTCCCTCACTCGTCCCTCTTCCCCACACAGTGTGTGTGTGTGGGGGGGGGAGCAGCCCGACAGAGCCCAGACCAGGCGCAACCTCCAGGCCCCACAGTCCACTCGCGGTCAAAGCCTGGCCAGGCGGCGAGCCCCTGCCTCGTGTAGGTCGGGTTAGGACAGTTGATGGGAAGGTGGCTCTTTATCACCTGATGTCCCTGCCCAGCCACTGCCCTGCTCCGGGACAGCGGCAGTGGGGGCAGGGCGGGGCGGGGCCTCCAATGGACGCTGCCAGGAGGCAGTTTCGCTCTACAAACCCCAGTGCCAGGGGCCGGCGCTTTGCGGAGCTCTCTCTGTCATCTGTGCACGTCCCGGAGAAAACCGTGCCGGCCAGTCAGTCGGTCGGTAGTCACAGAGAAGCTGTGTGGGCTGCACGTGGGCTCGCCGCTCGCTCTGGTCCCCGCCCGCCCCGGCCGTCGCGCTGCTGACAGGCTGGGCCGCTGTCTCCACAGGTGCTGCAACTGCCTTGCCAGTGGGGACTTTCGCAGCAACTGCAGTTGTGATAGTTGCTGCAACAGTTTATGTCACGGGATCGAACGGTTTAAGGCCATTAAGGTAAATAACGTTCCCACTCAACACAGGCGTTTTACGAGTGTCGAGAAATGCTTGAGCTGTTTGTAAAAACCACCTCGAGAGTCTTCCTCTCGGCGCAGGGAAAGCCTGCGGTGCTGTGTGCGGCGTGTGCTCTGCTCCTGAAGGTGGGGCCCCAGAGAGAGCGTCCCTCCAGCAGCGGGGGCACTGCACAGCTCCCGAGGGCCGGGCGTAAGGACACGCAGACGTCCCGTGTCTTGATTTGAGGAACGTGGGTCGGCCGTGCAGCGGAGGGGCCCACATTGGGGGGGCACGGGGTCGGGGCAGGGAGCGCTCCGCCATCACCTACGTCTGATCTGTGTTCCTGGGAGACTGGTGACAGGAGACTGTCAGCTTCCTTCCCAGGGCCCCAGCCCCACAGGCCAAGTGCAGGCTGCTGCTGAAGGCCAAGTGCGGAGCTCACAGCGCCCGCCCCCACCCCTGTGTGCCCAGAGCAGGGGGGACGGGCCGGCGGGGCGGCCAGCCGGCCGGGGACACGGCCCAGTGAGCTCTAGGTCACAGAGGACGGCGGAGGGCCACCATGCCACCTGTGGCCTGGAGGCGGTCCCCTGTGCCCCGGTCGGTCTGTTCATCTTTTCTAAGATACTTAACCCCTCTCTTGAACGATTGGCCCATCAGTGGAAAATAACTCACAGCTTTGGTCCAGCCAGACCCACGGGACAGGAGACGATGACAGGCACGTGACTACGGCCCCTCACACTTTCCACAGGGGCAAAGGCACTGCCGGCCCCTCGGAGTAAAATGCTTCACTGAAAAAGGCGGCGCTCTGCACACTGCGGGCAGGGGCCCGAGTCAGCGCGTCCACTTTGGGAGACTGGGGCGATAGCGGCTGGAGCTGAACCTTCGTTTGTACCGTGACCGGCAGTTTTATCCCTGAAAACAGCCGATGGGAAGGAGTGCACGTGCCCACCGAGACTTACCGAGGGCGTTTGCACCAGCTTCGTTCACCGCAGGCCCACACCTGAGTGCCCGTCCGTGGCCGAGGGGGTCCGTGTGCTGAGGGGTAGCCACAGTGCAGCACTGACGGCAGTGGGACCGGAAGGACCAGAGCTGTGTGTCCGGCCGGGGAGCCTCCTGGTGCTGCGCTGAAGGAAGGAGCGCGGCCGGAAAGGGGCGCGCAGCGCCACCCACTGGTGTGAAGTGGGACTGGTGGTTCCCACTGGGGGGGTGTGGGCCAGGAGGGAGCCCGAGGGAGCCTCTGGGGGCTACAGGCTCCTCCAGCTTGACCCTGGGGGGGGTGGTTACCAGGTGCCCCACCTACAGGTGTGCGCACCACGGACCCCCATGCTGCGGCAGGCGTCTCCCAGATCTTTACAATGAGCATCGGCTCACTCTGCTATTAAAAACATGCACAGCTGTCTGCGCAGGTGGAAGGGAGGTAAATAGATAAAGAATGTAAATGAGCCAATAAAAACAGTCGTGTTGCACAAAAAGACAGCCCGGCCAGGAGCCCGAGTCCGTCACGTGCCACCTGCTGCCCAGCCTCTGGTGCCTCAGTCTCTGCGGCTGCGGCTGCGTGGGCACCCAGGGCAGCCCTGTGGGCGACACTCACGTGGGCCCTGTGGGCAATGCTGGGACGTGGCGCGTGTCTGGCAAACTCGAGCTGCCGGCAGAGCCGAGCCCCACCCGTCTGGGGAAGAGCGACGGAACTGCAGGAAGGGGATGCATCCACGCGGGCACCGTGCTTTTCTTGGTCTCTGCACCGCCGTCCATCCCCCACGATGAGTGCGTGTGGCTTTGAGACGCAGCTGCCGCTGGCCTTCGAGTGCTGACGGGTGGGGAGGCAACGCTCGGGGCCGCGCTCCCTTTGAGTTGGGGGAGATGCTTCCCGTGGCCGCTACCGGGTGACGGGGAGTCTGACGGGGTGAACAGCCAGTCTGCAGGGTGGCACCAGCCCGCTGAGCCTCCTGGCTGGGGCTGGACTTGTTTCTTTAACATGAATCCCATGCCTTTAAGGTCAGGCAGAGGAGCCCGGCTGCCCGTGGGAGACTTGCCTGTGTCTGGATGCGCTGTGTCCCCCAAGGTGCCCACTGCCAGGGCTGCCCACTCTGTGGCCGAGGCTCTGGCCCTGGGAGCCACAGGCGATGGCCAGCAGACTGGTGTCTCCAGAGGTGGGCCTTCTCTTCCCTGAGCAAAGTAGGGGGACATGTCCCCAGGCGAAGGCTGGTCAGGTGCTTGGAGTGGGCGGACAGCTCGGGCCCAGCTCGCAGCCCCTCAGAGGCGAGAATGGGCGGCACCCTGGGGGGGGGGGCGGAGCAGACAGGCTCCTGGGCAGCTCTTCCTGGAGACTGCGCGGCAGCGGGGGGCGTGCTCCCCTGCAGCTTTGTCTCTGCCTTCTCTGTCTCTTTTCTTCGTGTTGGAGGAAAAGAGGAGAGGGCAGAACCCTCAGGCCCGCTCGGCTTGGCAGACACGCCTGCCTGCGGAGGCTGGCTCTCGCTGCTTCGGGCCTTTCGGGGATGCCTGTGAGTCCCGCTTCTGAAAGGCTGTCGTGGAAGGTCAGGCTAAGACAGGTCCCCCAGGCCCCACCGCCCCGCCGGGACCCTGAAGCTGCAGGCAGCACCTTGGCGGAGATGGAGCTGAGAGGTGCGAGTGGCCCGCAGTCCCTGGCATTGGAGACACCCGGGATCCCAAAGAAACCTTGCGCTCAACACGCCAAGAGGCCAGAATAAAACACACCAGGCACCCTTTGAGATGCGTGGATGGGTTGGAAATGCCAGGGCTGGAATGCAGAGGCAGCTGGAAACCCAGTGGCCCCCAGGGCCAGCTTGGGCAAAGGCTCGGACGCAGGCTTGTCGGGCTCAGCCGGGAACCGCCCCCACCCTGCCTGTGGGTTCGTGTTCTGGGGCCCACACAGCCTCTGCTGCAGGAGCAATAGGTGAGCCCCAGCCGCACGCACGCTCCCTTCAAACCCCACTCTGCAGGGGACACTTCCCCAGAATGCCCAGCAGAGGCAGAGAGCACCCCAGGGACTCCCACCCACATCACCAGCCTTCTAGAGCCCCTCCCTACCCCCCTTGTCAGCACGCCGGTGTGTCCCCACAATGGTGTCAAGTGGGGACATGCTCTTTGCTCCCCTCACATTATGGTTTTTGGTATGAAAATTTGAAGATTATGCACACATATAAATGCAAACAGTTTAGTCCAAATAGAGTTTGTTCATTGCTTTTTGATGACCAGTAGGACAACCTCGTTTCACTGAAGCATCTCATGTTACCAGGCCAGAGTGACGTGCCCTTCGATCTGCAAATGCACGGGCTGCAGAAACTACCAAGAGAGCCCAGAGCGAAAACCACCACTGGCCGTGCCTACCTGCGTGGAGACCGGAGGTGCAGAGGGCGGACGACCGAGACTCGGAGCCGAGAGGTGGGAGTTGGGTTCTGCGGCGGGAGGAGCGAGTGTGCGGGGTGTGCCAGGAAGGGGGGCAGGGCCAGGGGCCAACACTGACCACCAGGCTCCCTCGGAGGCCTCGGTACCTTGTCCTGCTGGTCCTCTCGGCAGGGGCCCTGCAGGGGTCGCTGGCAGGCCCCGAGCCCAGGGGGTGAGGGTGTGACATCCACATTGCAAACCCGGCCACCCCTCGCCACCTGCAGCCACAGCTCAGGGCCGCTGGGACTCGGGACGAGGTCCCCACCACAGTGTGGTGGGCTCACGCCGCAGGCACCCTGCTGACTCAGTTTGCAGCCGTGCGGTGGTCCTCGAGGGCCTCAGAGGCGGACCAGGGGTCTTACTGTGTCGAACCAGATCGTCCGTTTGAAAGAGCGGCTCTGCGCTCAGGTGCCATTGAGTCATGTCGTTGAAAAGCCAAGGTCACTTTTGTTTGGTTAGAAAGACACCGCAGCACGCATCGTCGTGACCTGCAGAGACCTTTGTCTGTAAACAGCAACTGAAACGTGGCCAAGTGTCCTGTGAGGTGGCACATGACAGTGTCGCCGCCTCGCTCAGGCTGTGCCTGTCCCATGGGGCCTGCCGGAGGCTCCAGGCCTTGGGCTCTGGCCTCAAAACCGGGTGACACCTGTTGATCAGAGCCCCGATTGCCCGCCCTCAGTGCGCGCCCTTGTGCGTTGTCTAGGCAGGGAGACTGGAGCCGTCCCCGTCCTGTGGGGTCCAGCACAGCTGCCTGCGGCTCCCTGCGCAGGGCTCCTCGGGGCCCTCGGAGGCCGGCGTGTCCCCAGGGGTGGAAGAGGAGGGCGTCCTCAGGGCCTCCTGGGGCTCCCTGGCTCCTGGCCGCCCTGGGGGGGCCGACGCCCAGCCTGGCTGTGCAGACCCTGCTCAGGCCTCAGGCCCAGGGTGCACCTGTGGTCTCCTCCTGCCCGGCCCGTGGCCGTGACTGCAGCCCAGGCCTCTGGGGGTGTGGGTGGATCTAATTGTGAGAAAATTTAGAATCTACCACGAGAGGGATGTCGGGAAGCTGACAGGTTTACCTTCCTCTGTGTTTTTCTTCTAAAAGTAATACTTGGTATCATTCCCGTGAATAGCTTCCACTATTAGAGAGGCACCATTCAATTTTTACCAGTGACATTCTTTAAAACACCATGACAGGCCTGTCCCCTTGCACATAGCGATGTCTAAATGCAGCCGAGCCTCTGCCGAGCCTCACAGCCGCGTCCCCACAGGTGGCCCTCGTGCATCTCCTGGGAGGTGGTGGAGGCCACCTGCGCCTGCCTGCTGGCCCAGGGCGAGGAGGCCGAGAGGGCCCAGCGCCCGGAGGGCCTGGCCCAGCAGATGATCCTGGAGGAGTTTGGGAGATGCCTGTCGCAGATTCTCCACACTGAGTTCAAGTCCAAAGGGTTGACCGTGGAGTAGAGCAGAGCCCGGTGGGTGCGATGCCGGAAGGAGGCGCGTCGAGGACGAAGGTGGTTTTCAGGACGGGAGGCTGGGTCTGTGGGAGCAGCCGCATGAGTCAGGTCAGGCTCGCTCTCCCTCTGCATCAGGGACACGGGGACTCGGTCTCTGAGGGGCCGGCCACCTGAAGCCCCTTTGTGGGGACAAGCACGACACAGCGGTTTTTGTGGGGCCACGGTGGGCGGCCTGGGCCCCCGTGGTGCTGGGAGACGTGTGTGCACTGACCCGGAGGCTGGCGGGTGGACACGGGGGCGGAGGCGGGACCGCCCATCTGACTTCCTCCCCCCTTGGGAGTTTTTCTCTGGACGAGTCTCTGCATAAAAAGCCATAATGATTTCCCCCCTAGTTATTTAGAAATAAAGTCCCCAGATGGGCCGCTGAGACACAGCGTAAACTCTCCAGGGAACTAGCGCCCGCCCTGCAGGGTCTGAGTGCAGACGTGTCCCCAGAGTGGCAGGGACCCTCAGCCCCCGCTCGGACCCCCTGCACGCAGACCTGGCAGCGCGGAGGCCCCCCCACCGCCTCCCAGCAGTGTCTGGACGTGGGACTGAAAACCACCCGGTTCCCCGAGTGTTTCTGTCTGTCGTGCGGAGGTGCTCCATCGTCCACCCAACTCCCCATAGCGACCGTTGTAAGAGTGTTGTCGGCGAAGTGTGGTTAAAGGGACTAGTTTGCGAAGCCAGCAGGTAAGATTGGCTAGTAGGGTGATTCTTTGAGTTCTATTGTAAAGCAAGGAGGAATAAAAATGACAAATGTCTCGTTGTGGTGATTCCCTTAGTAATGGGGACTAGCACTGTCCCCTCAGACGACGCTCAGACCCCCTTCCACCACAGTGGGGTCAGGGGGGCAGCCAGCACGTGGGTGAGCTCCGGTCCCACCTGCAGGAGCCCCTGCAGGCGGGGGCGGGCAGAGCTGTGTTGGGAACAGCTGAGTCCCGGCACCTAATTCTTCTCTGCTTGGGCCCCTCTCCCGTCCTAACCTGGACTCTGAGGCCAAAGCCAGGGTGGAGCCCGCCGTGGAGAAGGTGGGCTCTCAGGGGCGGGGCCTGTGGCCCTGGGAGCCCCTCCCCCCACGCAGCTGGTACGGAGCAGGACGGGCTGCTGCCCTGGCCACCTACCCCCTTGTCCTCGGGCTGGAAGGGCCCCGGGAATGGGGGCTTTGTGCCCCTTCCTGGGGGCGTCCCCACAGTGCTGCTAACGGCAATATCTGCTGGCCACACAGGAAATTAAAAATTTCTAGTCCACTTATTTTATCTCTTATTTTTACCCTCACCTGAGAACATGCTTACTGATTTGGGGGAGCGGGGAAGAGAAGGAGAAAGAAACACTCACGTGAGAGGGAAGCATCACGCAGTTACCCTCCCACACGCCCACCGGCACTGGGGACCAAACCCGTAACTCAGGCATGTGCCCTGACCGGGAATTGAACCTGCAACGCTTCGGTTTAGGGATCGACACTCCAACCAGCTGAGCCACGGCAGCCAGGACCAGGTGACACATTGTGAAAAGTGAACGGAGGGACAAAGGTGGAGGTGAGCGGCCGAAGGCTGCAGGGTCTGTGTGCAGACCGGGTGCAGGAGGTGTGGCCCCGGCCCGAGTGCGGATTCCGGTCGCACGGCAGTCTGGGAACCACAGGAGGGCAGGGGGCGGAGCTCGCCGGGTAGCCCGTGGAAGGAGGGGAAGCCTCCTGGGTGTCAGGGACCAGGGACAGAAGGACAAGGGCTCAGGCCCCCACTGGTGCCCAAGTCCTCCAGGAGCGGAGCGGTCTCAGTCCTCACACGGGCGCTGTATTGGAGTCACCAGGGGCGCACTGGAGGCCCGGTCCCCAGACTCGCAGCATCGAGGTCTGCCGGCCGCTGCGTCAGCCTGGGTGGGAGCCTTGCTGGGCGAAGCCCCAGGAAGACGTGCCCGCCACCCCGCAGCCCTGCTCCAAACACCAGGGAACCCGTGTTGTCAGGTGACCGGACAGAAGGCCTGCGGCTCTGCCTGTGTCCCTGGGTCTCTGGGTGTGATGTCTTCCGGCACAGGGGACGCCCATCCCTGCCCCCTGTGGAGCCAACCCCATGTGCTAGCTTCCTGCATGGCGGGCGCGTCTGCCGTCTACAAAACAGCTGAGGTTTTCAGGACACACACCGTCCCACCCGGGGCCCACGGACCCCTGTGGTGTGCCCCGTGGGCCCCCCCACTCCTGGCCTCCACCCCGCCGGCTCACTCTTTTCTGCTCCTCACTTGCCCCCCTCAGGACGCCGAACAGCCCCTCCTCTGCCACCTTGCGTGCGGCGCACCCTCTCCCTGCAGTCTCAGCCCGGGCCCTGATGCAGTCTGCTCTGCGCCTCTGCCTGCTGTGACCCGGTCCCCGGACGAGAGCAGGCATCTAGAGAGGCTCTCAGTGGGAGGGTCTGTTTTCAAGACTTGAATCTATCACATGTGGTTGCAGATGAGCTTCCTGGTTGAAAGCGCATGGGTGGGGCGGGGCGGGGCAGGGGCGAGACAGGGAAGAGAGGACAGCGAGAGTGCGTGCTGGTTTTTATTTTGCCGCTCAAAGTAATGACCAAGGGGAGAGTCAAAATAATGACAACACGGTGCCAAGGCAGGCAGCACGGACGTCCCTCTGCGCCGAGGGGCCAGCCGGCCCGGCCCCTAAAGTCTGACTTCACCGGCTGCCTGCTCTGCGTCTTCTGAGGACATGGCTGCCGGGAGTGCAGGCACCGGGGCCCCGGCCTCTGCAAAGGGACAAGGGATGGGACACTCCGGTGATGAGCCCCTGCGGTCGCCCAGAGGGCGGCCGTTTGTCACAGGGCTCCTGGGCTCAGACCCCAGATCCAGCCCACCTTTCTTATGCCCTGCCTGCGCTGCCCGCGCCCACCCACCCAGCACGCATTTGCCACTCAGACTTTTAGAGTCGCGCTTGGAGGGGGCCCACTTCCTGTCTGCAAGTAATGAGAGCTGGTGTCTCCTAACGAAAACAGTCCCATGTTACAAAATTCAAAACACGAAACAGGAAAACAATAAGCCCAGGAAGAGTCAGTCGGCCGCTGCTGGGGCCATGGCGCAGTGTCCCGGGGACCTGCTGGCTCCCACAGAGGGACTTGAGGACTCTGTCTGAGGCTTCTACGCCCTCCTCCCCAGACCCCCTCACCCACCTGCCCCCCACCCCACTCCCACCTCCAACCGAGGCCGTGTGGCCGGGGAGCAAAGGTCTCAAGACAGAACCGAGAGGTAGCCTTGACTGGTGCAAACTCACACAATTGCGCAGTGGGAGCCCTCACGACCAAATGTCTCCCCCCCCAGAGCATCAGAGAGCCGTCTCCCCTTGTCCCCGCCCACCACGGTGAACACCCAGCTGGCGGAGCCATCGGCGGGTGGTGTGACCTGAGATGACCTGGTCGAGGCCAGATGCTCCCCACTGAAGGGGCCGTAAGCGTTAGACTCAGACGGAAATCAGGGGGCGAGGGGTGGTGAAGGGGACCACAGGGAGGGCCGACAGCCGCTCATTTAAATGCAGCCCCACAGGCAAGGAGGACTCACACCCTGAGACTGGGTGCCTGTTAGTGTACAGCGCCGGCAGGCACTGCGGCCACGCAGGTCCAGCGGTTGTGGCCACGTCTGAAACCCCACGGAGCGAGCAGAACCCCAAAGCCCTCTCTCCCTGGTGACAGTTGGTCGGTGACCCTTCCCAGGGACAGTGTGAGACCGGCAGCAACCCCAGCCCCGTGGTGCCTGGTCCCGGTTCCCGTGCCCTGTAATCCCAGCCCAGAGCAGTGACCTTACGTGTGCGGGGGTGATTGGTCACCGACGTTGAAGTCAAGGGAACGCTTGCCAGACCAGCTCAGTTTTCAGGAGCCCAGGGTCCCCAGAGGTGGAAATGTAGATCGGTCGCGGTCCACTTACCTCTGAGATGCGAGAGAGTCAGGAGCTCCATGATGGCGCGCACAGTCTCACTCTCGGGCAGTGGCCTGTCCCAGCTCCCTAAACCTGAAAGGGACACCATTCACCACCCACCCCCGTGCTCTGGGGCTCACGCCAGCAGCACCGTCCACGGGGCCCTGGCACCCGAGGTCAGGGAGACCCCGAGGCGGGAAGGCATCTCTGCGATGTCGGGGTCCCTCTCCTAAGGGGCCCAAGTCTAGAAGGACTCTCCGATGTCCCCATGCTGTCCCCATGCTGCCTTGAGACCTCACTCTTGGGTGTTGTGGCTTCTGTGTCTGGCAGTGGGCAGCTGCGGCCGGGCCAGGCTTGGACCACCGCCCTGTGGGCCTGGAGGTGACAGACAGAGGGGCAACTCGGTGCCCAGGGGCTGGCGTCCTCTCACCTGACCTGGCGGCGTCCTCGGGTTGGAGCTCCCGCTTGCCAGCGAGGCCGAGCTTGTCATGGAAGGACCTGTGGTTGTTGATGGCATCTGCGCACAGACCAGAGAGGACAGCCGCTGAAGGCCACCATGTGCTCACACCCTCCCCGCACCCCACAGTGTGGGGACCGCAGGACAGGTCAAGGACGTTGCCCACGGGCCCAGGGGGACTCGGACCTGGGGCAGCAGGAGCACCAGGAGGCTCCCGGAGACCAGGGCTGGGGCCCTGTGTCCCAGAAAACAAGGGGGCCCACGGAGAATTCTAGGTTCCGATACAACCAGGTTGTTACTTTTCAGAGACCACTCTGGCAGCTGGGTGGGAGCGAGGCTGGGTGACTGTGTGTGTTGGGTGGCATGGATCTTGAGAGCTCCCCTGAGAAACTGTGGGAAGAGCCCTGGCCGTGTAGTCAGCTGGTTGAGTGTCACCGGACACAGTTGTGGCTCTGGTCCCAGCCAGGGCACATGCAAGCATGCGCCCCGGTGGGTGGAACGAGAAATCCATGTTTCCCGCTCCTGTCCTCTCTCTCCCTCTCAAATCAATAGATACAAATAAGAGAAACTATTGAAAGAAAGAATGAGGGCTCTAAACCAACCAAGTGGCTTGGAATGAGGAGAAGGGGCTGGACTTGGGCGACCAGGGGACACAGGATGGGGGGGCGCCTCAGCGTTTCTGTCGTCGGCCAGGCGCACAGAGGAGGATGAACTCCTTTTTCCGGGGGTGTCGGCCTCGGCACCCAGTCTGGGTGAAGGAATGGTTAAGTGAGCCTGTGTGTCTGATGGGCAGTGGGGTGTCTGCTGCGAACCCTTCTCCTTGACGCTGCGTCTACATGGACCGTAGAGGTCAAGGGCAAACCAGGTAACTAGTCTAGGTGACAGCTCCCGGCGACCCGGCCTGTCGGGGGTATAAACTCAGCGGTGGACAAGGGTTTGCTTCCTCACTCCGGAGGCAAAGCCTTCCTGGTACGTTTTCAGTTTCCAAAGTCACACGGGTAAGTGTTGGGTTGGAGGGTCCTGCGGTTCTTTGGGTCAGCAGCACCCAGAGTCGAGGTGCTTTCTGAGGGAGAGAAGGTGGGGCTGCAAAGGGGAAAACGTGTGCCCCTTGAACCAGTGAGAAGACCCCGTGGGACCTGAAACCAAACACACTGGGACTTGGGGGCATCCAGTGCTAGTCATCTCTGTGCCCTCAAGGGGCCCCCCCAGGCGAGGGCTGACAACCCTCTGCGGGAGAGCAAGTTTGGAGCAAGGTTGTGTCCAGACGCAGGATCGAGAGCCAAGAGCTTGCGAGCAGTTTAGACGGGGGCGGTAATGCCCTGGCTGGTGTGGCTCAGTGGATAGAGCACGCTGCGAACCAAATGGTTGCCAGTTCCATTCCCAGGCAGGCCACATGCCTGGGTTGCAGGCCAGGCCCCCAGTATGGGGTGTGCAAGAGGCAACCACACATTGATGTTTCTCTCCTTCTCTTTCTCCCCTTTCCCCACTCTCTAAAAGTAAATTAAAATCTTAAAAATAAATAAAACCTTACAAACAAACAAACCGGCAGCCCGGTGGGATGGGAGCCTAGGGCTGCGGGACCAGACCCCAGCAGGGCTCAAGGCGGAGCCAGGTGCCTCCAGGCTGGGGGCGGGGGCGGGCAGGTGTGGTCACCGCCAGGAATGCCTCCGGAGCGGGGAAGGAGGGAGCTGAGTACAGGGGCCCGGAGCGCAGCCGCGGAACCCGCCGCAGAACCGGCTGCAGAGCCGGCCGCCGGCCAGAGCGGGGATGGGCGCCCCCTGGGGGCCGGCAGGTGTCGTTAACCTACGCGGAAACCTGTCCTCGAGGTGCTGAGACCGCCGCGCTCCCCCCGCCCCGTCCGACTGACGCAGCGACGGCGCAGGGTCAGAGGGGCGCCTGGCCCCTCACCTTCCAGAAGGAGCGCTGCTAACATAAATGGCTGCAGCGGCAGAGCTGGGCCAGTGTGGCGAGGTACCTGGGCGCAGCGTCACTTACGTGGACCAAGAAGGTAGCCGGCGCTGTTCAGGGTCCAGCCCCTCTTTTCCTTCACCTTAAATGGGAGAAAAGGGTCCGATGGCAGGGCCTGTGCCTGGCCCGGGCTGGGGGCGCCCACAGAAGCCGTGAAGGCAGCTTCTGCTTGCACCGCCCAGCAGGGTCCCCGGGGAGTCACCGACCCGGAGCGACCGCGGGACTCGGACCGCCAACGCGCGGGAGTCGGGCCCGCTCGCGGCGAGCTGAGTGGCATGGCTGGGAGGACGGTGCCCACCGGTTTTCCAGGCAAGAGGCAGGAATTAGAGCAGCGCGTGCACTTAGGGAAACTGCCACCAATTCCAGGTGCGTCCCCCGAAACGCTCTTTGTGACCTGGCACTCGGACTCGTGGCTGCTTTGCCCAGTGACCCACTGACCACAGGCTCCTCGCTCGCGTCCAGTGGCGCCGAGCACGGGCTCCACTCCGCGGAAGGGACCCTCTGGGAGTGCAGCCTGGCTCGCAGCGGCGCTGTCTGTGCCGGGGAGGTGAGGGCCGGGATGGAGGAGGGGGCGTCTCCCGGGGCCCGGATCTTCCACCTGCCCCTCCCCCCGGCCCCGCCAGACTAAGCGCCCGAAGCTGGACTTTCTGCTCCTGGCACAAAGCGCCCACGGGCTGCCCTGTCTGCTGCTGTTCTGATGGCCCCCCTTCGCTGAGAAGGGACACGGCTCCGGGGGGCCAACATTTGTCCCCGCCCTGCACTTACCGGTGACCCGAGCCCCAGGGTAGCCGACAGGGCCGCGGCGAGGAGCAGGGAGGCGAGCAGGGGGGCGCCGCCTCTGGGCATCTGCAGGGGAAGACGCGTGCACATCGGGCGGAGCTCGGACCGGCCGACCGGGGGGGGGGGGGGGACCGAGGGCGAGGAGGACCGAGCGGTTTGTGACTGCGCCCCCTGCGGCTGGTGCCGGGACAGGGGACAGAGGCAGAGGCGCCGCGCCCCCTCCCCCAGGAGCATTCACGGGCAAACGCGGGGAAAGGGCATCCGTACCCTGAGCGGCGGCGATGCGGGCTGTCAGTGTCCCGGCGGCAGGGACGTCTGGGCGTCCGGTGGTGGGTCAGGTAGGGCCGGGCTGGGGGCGCTCACTGCGCGGCACGGCCTCGGGCTCCCTCGACGTGTCCAACTCGGAGCCGCTGCCGCTGCTATTTATGCGGCGCTAGCGGGCGCGTCCCCGAGCCCTGGGGCCACGTCATGGGGCTCAGTTCCCGCCTTCCTCACAGAAGCCCGATGGGGGCGGGAGTGCCCGCAGCTGGCTCTTTAGGGGGGCTCCAAGCTTCCCGGGAAGGTGTGGGGAAGGGTGACAGGGATGGCAGAGGGGCCCCCTGCCAAAGCCCCTCTGTAGAGACCCTGCCACTCTAAATGGAGAACCCCTATCGGGCCAGGCAGAAAGCCCCCAAACCCGCCCTGGAGAGGCCTGGACAACCTGCGTCACTGCCCACTACCCTGGTGGGGAGCCCCACCCCCATCGCCAGGACCCTGGTCCCAGTGGGAACAGAGGCCCCCAGCCCAGCACAGCTCTTCGCTGCTGGGGAAGTCACCCAGCAGCAGAGCCAGAGACCCTGGAAGGGTCAGGCGGGGCCACCCCCAGTCACACCAGGCCCAGTGGGACAGCCCCCAGCACCCTGTCTGCTTGCTCACACCTGGCTTTTCCACCTCTGGGTGCCCAGTGGACTTCAGGAGCCCAAACCCTGGTCCTGTTTTGCTAAAAGGGGGCAAATCAGCCAAAGCTGTTGGGCTGTGGCCACCGGAAGACTGTCCCCACCCAGAGCTCTGCCACCCCAGAGGCACCTCTGCACCCCAGGGGCACTGCTGGCTCAGAATGGGTGCCTGCCAATGCTCTGCGCCCGGGCTCGGGACACAGAGCTGTTCTGAGCAGGGCTGGGTAGGGGTGGAGCCCTCAGGGGCTCGCAGGGGGGAGGTGCACAGAGTGGGGGCCAGCCCAGGCCCCCAGAGGTGGCCAAGGGGTGCGCAGGGCAGCAGAAAGAGGCTGTGGCCGGTGGCCTGGGAACCAGGCAGCAGCTGGCCCTCCTCCGCTTGCTCCAGGAATACGTCCTGGGCTTCCTACAGGGCCCTTCCCGGCTGGCTCCTGGACGTCGTCACCCTGGGCTTCCCGAGAAGGATGAGGCCATCAGGCGAAACGCTGCCCAGCAGCCAGCCAGTTACCGGCAGGCTGCGGCCCGCAGAGCATGCAGTCGATGGGTGTCATCGGGGACCGGGAGCTCACAGGTCCAGGCAGCGCTGTGACGCTGCCCTGCATCTCTCCCACTCTTCACTCTTACGAGCCCTGTGTGCGGACAGCTCCAGCCACCCCCAGGGGAGCGCCATCGGCCTCTGCGTGGACAAGGAAGGACCTGGGCTCTCGAGGACTTGGGTCAAGGCCAGCTGGCTGGTTAGGAGGGTGCAGGCCCTCGCCTGGGGTGCCAAGTGCTACCCTATTTGCTGGAGGGCAAGGAGGGGTGCTGGCCGGGAGACCTGGCTTGGTGGGGGGGGGGTCTCAGGACCAGAGTCCTGGCTGCCACAGGGGTGATGGGGTTGTTCTCAAGGGCACAGTCTGACTTCCAGTCACTCCCATTTCTGGCAGCTTGATGTGGGAGGACAGCAAGGGGCGGGGGGCCTGACCAGGACTCACACACTGATTTCTGAAGCCCACAGTCAATCGGGGCACCCTGCCCCCCAGGGAGGGCAGCGGGAGATGGGGGCAGTGGCACCCCTGCTGTTGGGGCAGCAGAGGGCAGTTTTCTGCGACTCATCACTGAAGTGAGGGTGACTCCCTGTCATGCCCTGTGCCCTCGGACGTACGTGGCCGTGGGGAGTAGGCAGGAGCCAGGCACAGGTGACCCCGCTCCTGACAAAGGCCACCACCTCTCGAGAACTGCTGGTTGGATGGGGGAGTCCTGCCGTCACTCCGGGGCACTCGCCATTCTTCTGAGAGCACATTCGTGCGGTGTCACATTCGTGCGGTGTCCACCAGTCCGCCTTGGCCACTTCTCCTTCTCCTGTGTCCCAGGGTGGGTGCTCCCCACCATCAGCGAGAGCTTGAGGCCCCCTCCTCTCTCCACGTTCTGGTCCAGGAGCCACTCAGCCCAAAGAAGCAGAATTCTGCAACCGAAAACTTGGGTCCGGAAAAGCCCTGGCCAAGGGGCCGGCCGTCTGGCCTCACAGAGGCCAGGAGGAGGCTCCTGCACCCAAGCAGGACACTCGTCCCACCCTGGTCAAGTGACGTCAAATTCTTCTCCGAGTTGCCCCAGACCTTCCCGGAAGCGGAAGGCTCCTGAGTGCGGGGCCGCTGCACGGACCCCTGGGGTGTGGCCTCGGACTGGAGAACAGAACACTCGATGACTGGCCCCGGCCTCTGGCCACTGTTCCCACATGTCGCAGGGGAAACTTCTCGGGCACTGTGAGTCCGGTGAACAAAGCTACACTGAACGATGACGCAGCAGAGCTCAAAACCAAGCTGCTTTCTCTCCGTTCACCAGGGCTTTCACCGTGACCCTGTCTGGGGGGCACAAAATCACCGCTTCCCCTTGCGTCTGGGCTGTGTCGTGACCCTGGCCGGGGCGGTGGGAGGAGGGGGCGGCGCTGGAGGGCTGCCGAGTTGGGACAAGGGAGGCGGGCAGGCGTCCAGCTGGCTTCCTGCACGAGCTGTGCCGGGACCCACTGTGGCGTCCTGATGGGCTCTGTGTGCTCGGCGATGACCCAGCCGGAGTCATCGTCAGCGTGCCATCTCGAGAACAGTGTGTCATAGACAAAATGGGTCACCATTAGAGTAATGGAGATCAAGCTGAAGGCGTGCTTTCCCCGGCGTGCTGAGGCAGCCTGCCTCCCCCTAGAAGTCCGGTTCACACCCACAGAGAAAGCCAGTGGGAGTGTGGAGGGGACAGGGCGAGGGCACAGAGAGACCCCGGCCCTGTGCCCGGAGCCAGGCGGCCTGTCCTGCCCGCCTGGCTGCAGCAGAGAGACTCAAACATGAAAAGCAGCCGCGCAAATAGCCTCCTTGTTGTCGTGAGAAGGTCTGCGAATCCAGGGAGCCCGACCTGACAGGAGGACAGGGTTGGCCCGGTTTTCATTCTCCCTTCCTCCTTCCTGCCGCTGGGAAGGCAGGTGTGAGGGCCGGGGTTGAGCAGCCGTTTTGGATCACAAGGTGATGACTTTCAATGACAGTGAGACCGAGGGAGGCTGGGTCGCTGGGCTGCGCACACAGGCATTGAAGCTGCTGTTGTGTGGGGTTTCCTACTGTGTGCGGTTGGAATGATTCCTGTTTAGAACAGTGTGTCAGGCAAAGCTGTCAGCACATGTTTGATGAGTGAATTAGTGAATGTGAATGAATGAAGGGAGGCCCGGCCTCCCGTGCTGGTGAGGGGCTCATAAAGGGGGAGGCTCTGAAGAGCGGGTGACAGACAGGCACTGCCTACCGCCCCTCCCCACCCCACAGGACTGGAGAGGTGGGGAGACAGCTCCATGGTCCCAGCGATCCGGGGCCAGCTGGTCTGGAACCCTGCGAGGTCTGTGTGTCCTGGAGCCTGGCCTCCCCGACTTCCTGCTGCCTGCCCCGCCCCCGCCCCCACACCACTCCAGTGACAGAGTCCGCAAGAAAATACCCCGAGCTGCTCCTCAAAAACAGCTTCACAAGGGTTTGGCTACAGTGGGGGTCGCTTTAATTCTTTGCCTGGGTTTTGGAGTAACGGGCTCTTCTGTGCGACTCTGCTACAGGATCCCTGACCCGTGTGAAGACCTGCTTACCCGGCCCACCCAAGCACTTGGGTGCCTTTACGAGGGTGCAGGCTGCAGAGGGGGCGGGTGGGGGCCTGCAGGGGTCAGTGGTTGGGGGGCACTCGGTGAGAGGCTTCTCCCCTCCCTTTAGGCGGCCTTTGGGGAGACCCTCCTGCCACTTCTTCAAACATCTTGCTGGGCAGAGTCACATCCAACTGCAAATGGGGCCTTTTTATGGATGCGGAGATCAGGGTCCGGGGTCCCCACGGCGGTCGTGCCACAGATGCACGGTTTTGTAGAACTTGAAATCAGCCACGGGCGCACTGGGTCCAGACCGCCGTGTCTGCACACCCCTGCCCAGCACCGTGGCGGCCCGCTGGACATGGCCGGTGTCCCTGGGTGCTGCCCTCCCAGGTGTCCAGAGCCTTCCCCCCGCCCATGGCACCCGCTGCCCTGGCACCGAGACCGGACCGAATGTGCCCGGCAGTCGCTGGTTCCTCCCGGGCGATGCGTGAATGGGGCCCGGGGGCCCCAGGAGGACACAGGGACGGACGACAGCTGTCCTGGGGGCCGCCGGGTCTCTCGCTGAGCCCACCTCCCCACACCGACTGCACCCCACACATACTCTGTGCGAACTCTCAGGTTAGTGGAGTGGGGGGCCCTTGTCCTGGGCGGTCATTTTACATGTCCCAGGCCCTGACTAAGGCATCCTTGCTCTCCCTGTCCCCCACGAGCAGCCTCCCTCACCCCTAAGCCACCAGCAGCACCTGCCCCCCATGCCTGCCCTCTCCCCCACTGCCCTGGGCTCTGCCTCACACCCGCCCCTCCCTCCGGGCTCCGCCCCCTCCGGGCCCCGCCCCGCCTCTCCGGCCCCTCCCCCCCATCCAGACAAGCTTCCCAGGGGACCTTGTTGCCAGGAGTCCAGGAATCCACTGCACCCAGTGGAAGGAATGACTCGCCCACTGGGTTTTTCCTGGTGGCTCATGCTGGATGGGGCCGGGGCGCCCGGAGCTGGTGACTCAGCCACAGGCCCTGGGCGGCTGCACCTGTTTCCTGGCTCTGAGTCGGGCCCCCGGCAGCCCATCTGGCGAG